ATTCCCAATAAGTCCCATTTGTTTCCCAGAGCAAGTACATGTTTCAGTACATATTGATCTGGTTAGTGGTGACTGGAACATGAATGGATTATGACTTTCCATTCAGTTGGGAATTTCATCATCCCATTTGACGAAGTCATATTTTTCAGAGGGGTAGGTATATCACCAACCAGTTATCCATTAAGATTCCCATTTAGATCCTGTTAAACCACCATTAAATATCCCATTAAACCACCATTAAATCACCATTAAACCACCAACCAGTGATGTTTTGGGACCAGTGATGCTACTTACGGAAAAAAGTCCATCCCATTCGTCTGAAAACTCCATAACTCTCACGCGACGCAGGCTGCGCCGAGGGGAAGTCGAAGCAGGTGGGGTACGTGGCCCCAAGGGGATATGGCGGTTCCTATGGTGAAACATATTACGTAAGCTTATAACATCTTAGTTTCACGGTGTCACGTGAAACTTCGCTTCAAAGTATTTAGATACATAAATATATATATATATATACATATTATTATATATGTATATAGGATCATTGATTGACACGTGATGTATCTATACAAGATTCATATGAAAATTGATTGACACACTGTATACATCATACATATCCTTGTATATCACTTTGCAAACGGACCATGGGTCGATCCTGCACCAGGCACTCCAGACCGCAGCGCCAACCCCGTGCCAGCTCCCGCTGTGCCCGCTGTGCCCGCTGCGCCTGCTGCGCCCGCCGCACCCCCGGTGCCTGTGCCGGAGCCGGCACCAGAGGCCCCAGAGGCCCCAGAGCAAGTGCCGCCCGTGCCGGCGCCAGCGGAACCAGAGAGGCACTGAGAAGTGGTGATTTCATGTGATTTATATTGGATTGATGATATTAGTGTTGAAACATTACTATTTTTGTGGGACTCAGTTCAGAATTTGTCTGGTGACAATTGAGGCGAAACCACTTATATACTGTAAATCTGCTAGCTTATCATAATGTTTCCACTTTTCAGACATACACTTACAGCGTCTTACAGCCTTACAGCTGATGTATTGGACACAAAATTGTGACTTTAGTAATAAACAGTTTAATTCTTTGGCTACTTTTCCGGTGGATCTTCACCCATGAAGTTGATGTCCGTGCTAAGATGATCTTGGAAGTCACCAACTGCACAAAGTACTGTACTTGGTACCCATAATGTACTATAATCATGATCAATGGGAATTTCAGGATCCTAAAATGGAGGTACGATAGTACCATATTTATGGGGATGTTCCCTTACATAGGCCTAAAAAATAGGCCTTATATATGGTAGGTACCTCCAATTTAGGATCCTGAAAATCCCATTGACATGAGGTAAACAGCCCAGATCAACTTGTTCAGGATCCCATAGGGGTTCGATCATTTTCCCAGAACGATGGCTTGAGAACCAGCCGAATGTGTGTGTTTTTTTGTGCGTTTGTCCAAGATCTTGAGGCGTGCAAATGCAAAATTCACTATTAATCTTGGAAACTGCCAGATTCACATAGATTCACATAGATTCACATAGATTCACATAGATTCACATAGATTCACATAGATTCACAATTTTCATCTATTTTCCAGGATTTTGCCTCACTTTTTTTTTGGAGGGGCACAATGCTTCCCGGTTTCCATCCGAAACAACCACCATCGTGACCCTCAGGACGCCTGAAAGTGCCGAGGCCTGGCCCCAGAATTTTCAGACGGGCCCCTCGTTGTTTGACAGGGAAAAAGCCGTGGAAAAAAAACCATGGAACAAACCATCAACATTTGGTGAGTCAATGCGAATTTCCATATTTTTCCTAACATGGCCAAAGTTTTTCGGCTGTCCCTCAGGCAATGTTTTTGGATCTTTTTGGTAGTAAAGCATCAATTGATTTTTGGGGTCGCCAAGAAAAGCCTTCGTCAAATCCACGGCTTTGCTGAGCCAAGATGACGTGATGACGTCTGCATCTTTCAGGGCCAGGACTTCACGGATGTACTGGTAACTTTTACAATATGTCATATTGAAACTCTAATGTTGGGTTAGTATTTTTAACTCAAACTCGATGCATATATGTAAGACACGTCATAGTATATAAATATTGTACATATATTTATGTAGAGTTGTTTCTAGCAGCTGGGACCTCATCAACACATGGACCCAAGCACATCTTTGCTGCACAGGCACAGCCCAATTTGGCCGCCTGAGAGACAGCAGTTGAGCGGCAGACTTCCAATTCTCGCCTGGAGTTTGGAGGAGCGACCGCGGCGTCGAAGAAAACATATGGAGATGGATCAGTTCGCCCTAGCCTTCTGCAAAAACCAATGAACACCCCAACATAGCTGGTAGTTGTGGAAGTAGTGGAAGTTCATTCCATCCAAATATGGGTATCATCAGATGTTGATCCGCCATCAGAATGGCTCGCCTGGGGCCTGGGCTTTGTTTGTTTTTCTTTGGCCCTACAACTTGAAGTAATGTATCACATGTATCAAGTGAAGAGGCTATGAAGATGTATGAAGGGGGAACGGGGGAACTCTGATGTATATATATATATATAGTTATATATATATAAATGATATGAGATGATATGATATGATATGATATAATATGATATGATATGATATGATATGATGCGATTTATATATATATATATATTAGATATGTATACGCATACATGATATGAATTCCCATGACTTCTGTCTGACAGTGCCTGGGTCACCAGGAGTAAACGGGTATGTTTTCATCCTTTTCAAAGTTCCTTCTGCTCGAACGACTTTGACTTTGGGAAAAAAGGGAAACGGAGCTGATCACGGTCGCCTCATCCTCCCGTTCTGGCAAAGTGCCAGAAATACTCCGCAACTGGCCTGAAGCCTGGCAGATCTACTATACCTCAATCGACCTCAGGTTCAGAAACCTGGGAATTAAAAGTAAGTGTATAAACATACAATATAAATCATTAATAGTCTAATACATTCAGATCCACGGATGTTTTTGATGTTCAGCTAGCCACGTTACTCTGAAAGGGTATCCATTGCGATTTCCTCGGCTTCAAGTCGCTACCAGAAGTTTAAGTGCGAAGCCCTGTGGCCGTGGGCCCAGGGCGTTCGTAGAAAAACAGCGCAGCCACTGCGCTGGCAGTGCGTGAGTTGCCAGGCCATGCCTTATATCGTGGTAAACCCAATGAGAAGCCATTCCAAATATTATTACCGTGAATGAAGGATGATATGTATGTGTGTATATATATATACATATATTATGTATAACTGTATATCTATATATGTATTAGAATGTGGTAAGCCCAACAATGAACCATTCCAAATATTATCATGATCAACTGGATAGTAAAAGTATCACAAAATGCTAGTTGTTTATGGCATTTGGTTTTCCACACTATAGGGGTCCACAAAATTGTGTGATGATTCCGAGCATGAAGGAATTAGATCCGAACCAAGGGAAATCAGAAAACCATGCTTGGCTAAGTTGGCTGAACAAGTTATCTTGGCTAGGCTTCACAGTGATGAAGTAACATGAAATAACTCTAGTTAGATGTATAAAACATAGAATTCTGGTTGGTGGTTTGGAACATTTGGATTATTTGTCCAATATATTGGGAATTTCATCATCCCAAGTGACAAACTCCATGATTCTTCAGCGGGGTAGGTGGCTCAACCACCAGCCACAACTCCACCGAGGTCATTTGTTGGATCCGGCTGGTGGGTTAAACAGCAACTTATGTATCTCGAAGTGGGAATGATCAGGATAAAACTGAATGATCTGAATGTATCTGACTCAGACATGATGTGGTGGAACATGGTGGAACACATGACCATTTTTTTGGCATATGTTTGGCATATTTCAATATTTCGTTCTGGCTGTTGCCAACCTGACTGCCAACCTGGCTGCTCATGTGCTGCGCACCCTCGCATCTCAGCTGAAAATGGATCAAGGCTTATTGTGGAATTGTGTAAGCAGGATTGATATTTACAGGAGAGCATTTACTAACTGCTTCATGTGCCTCAACCCATTCCATACGAAGTAAGAACTTAAACAAATCCTGAAACAATACCCTCTGGTTATTTAACATAGCCATGGAAAATGGCCCATAGAAATAGATGATTTTCCCAGCTAGAAACCTCCATTTATGGATGGATTTAAACCATGGCTATGTTGGTCATAACCAGATGGTATATCTGAAACCACACATGTTTCACACTGAAACCTGGACTGATTTGAAATCGGATTTTTGTTTTGTCGATCGCTGGGTGATACGTCCTGATCGCCTGATCGCTTCGTGGCTTCGTGGCCGGTTGGGGTGAAATGCTTCTTTGGTTTATAACTCCCATGACTATATATATATATATATCTTTGGAAATCATAGTTAGTAAGGGGAATCATCCCCAAATGGGCCTTAATTCAGGTTAGTGAAATATTATAATTTACCCATATATATATATTATAGATACACATATTGTAGGAGTAATAAACCCAGCATTATTTATCATAAACTCGTATGATATGTTTGTTTGGGTGTATAATATATATATATATATATAATATTATATGGATAGTTATTTTATCCTAAACCCAACATATAATCTAGTTATAAGCCAACTTTGCTAACCAGCTGAGTCACCCCTTGTAAGAGACCACATAGAACCACTGACTAAATTTAAATCTGGCACAGTGCTTTTAGCTTGAAACCATCAGATCCTTACACTTCCTTTCCTTGAACACTCTTGGCTTTGCCAGGGCTTTGCTGCAAGATTGATTGTGCATTTGCATGTCCCCCATCAAAACAGCAATGCGAAGGTAACTACTCCATGTTATCAGACACTACATAGATCATATTGCTGGTTATCCAATGTATCCCCATATATTACATATATATATATATAATATATACATATACATACATATCCAATCTCCCCATTATATCACCAGTAATAATATCATACCTAACTCATCGACCATTTTGTGAATTCTCGGCTCAAAACCAGCGCCACCAGCGCCATCCAGTTTGTTTAAGCCATTGGTGGGACCGACAGGCCATAGATTCCTGGACGGTGGTGGCCTGGCTGGTTATAGCAATGCTTGGGGGTGCAGTTTATGGTCATAAAATCTTTTAAATTCACATAATTCCACAAGAATCAGGTGTTTTTATCGGGATAGAACTTATATATACATATATATAATATATACATGTATGTGTATATTATATTATTATATCATGTCATATCATATTATATTATATAATATTATATTATATTATATCATATCATACCATTTTATATTATATCATATCATACCATTTTATATTAGATATATATTTGTTTTTTTTTTATGTCATCATATGTTATTATATAATATTATATCATATCATTGTTCATTATATTATATATTATGCATTATTGTATATGTTATTATTGTATATATATATATATATGGCTATGGATCAAAGCCACCTGGGTATTTCTAGTGAAGCCCAAAACAGCTGGTCGATGTTCATTCAAGAAAGGTAGTTGAAGGTATCTATCCGCAGCCCTCAACCATCATCCATTTTTCAAAATTATTCTAGGGTGGGTGCCACATGGGGGGTCCACTATGGCATGGTATATTCAAATCCCATTGGGTTTCGTCTTCAAACCATTGGCTTCAAAACATATTTACTGGTAGCAGCATTTGTTGCGCAAGAGGCCATGGCTGCTGCACTCTGGACCGATCTCAAAGGTCGGGACGTGATGGGACCCCCTGTTGTGACTCTGGGAAATTATCAGTTTGCAACAAGAAGTGTGGCCCATTGAAATACATTATTTACCCACTAAAGATTGTTGTTTTTTCACAGTTATGTCAAATTACAAGACGGTAAATGGATGAATTAGATAAATCAAATACCTTTATGGGTCATCTATACGATAGAAACTGTTCAATGACTGCACGGTGGCACTAGTGAGAACCCCGCTGACACCACGCATTTCAATCCCCACTCCGGGCCCATAACTTTCACCTGGACACTATCAACAAACACTTGGGTTTGTCTGAAAAGTTAGGTCAAAACTTCCCAAATCCATTATCATCATTTTCCCATTATAGTCATCCCCAAAACCATCAAACACTTAATCTCCAGTTTGATGTTTTTCTTACGTTTAACATCTTCCGTCCAACCCGGACGTTGCTCCACACTCACAAAGATCATCATCAAACACATAATCATAATCACAGTCACAATCATCATCATCATCACCACCATCACCATCACCATCACCATCACCATTACCCCCTCTCAGCTTATCCTCAAAAGGGATCAGAAATTTGCCACCCCTTCTGACAAATATGCTGACTGGGGTAATGTTGAATGGGGTAATAACATCAACTGATGAATGTAATGTATATATATATGCATATGCAGCTCATATGCCATGCATATATTTACATAGACAAGTACAAATACAAGTATAGAGATACATATACATATTATACATATATATATATACACATACACATACATCCACATTTACATATTAAGGGGCTACGCCCCCTGCCGCCGACCCCTGGGAGAGAGGGGGAGTTGACACATACGTCACTTCCGGAACCTACAAGAAAACTATATGGGTACGAGTCAAAATACAAGGTATGGATCAAGGCGCCAAAGCTACACACGATCCATACCCCCCGATCCATACTTTGATCCATACCCTTGATCCATACCCCAGATCCATACCCCTTTCTCGTTGAAGAAAGACTGATGCTGGCCTTAACGATGCTTTTTATCCTAATATATACTGCTTCTGGTCGTCGTACTGCTACTCCCATCGCTACTACCGTTGCTTCTACTGCTGCCTCCACTGCCTCCGCTGCTGCTGCCGCCGCCACTACTAGTGATTATCCTCCCAGGAGCTGCTGCTACTGCTCCTGCTGGTCGTGCTCTCGCTGCTGGTGCTGGCTCACGTTCTCCGTGTGCTTCGGTTGTTGGACAAATGTAACTAGTTGACTAGCTACTCGCAATATTGCAAGTGCACCTTGGAGGCTTGTAAGACCGGTTCTACTTCCACTAGGTGCTTATTGTACTTCTAGTGGTGCTAGGACTACAAGTCCTTCTGTTTCTACTTTGCCTGGCACGTGTAGAACTAAAAAAGCATGGTGTCCTGATCCATACCCCGATCCAGACCCGTTCCATGCCTGGTCCATATCCGAACCCAGTCACGCCACAACAAGTGCCAATATGAAAGTCCGAATCTGTTACTACTTCTGCTGCTGCTTCTTGTGCTACTTGTGCTTCTACTTCTACTTCTGCTTGTACTTCTACTTTACTTTTGCTGCTACTACTACTACTTCTACTACTACTGCTGCTGCTACTATTACTACTACTCCATTAGATTATTTTACTGTTATTACTTTGACTCTTACTAGTACTACTGTTACTGCTACTGCTATTTCTACTGCTACTGCAGCTCCTCCTTGTATTGCCGCTACTGCTGCTGGTGTTGTTTTTTTTACTGCTCCCTCTACTAGCAGTGGCAACAGTTTTAGCAGCAACAGTAGCAGGAGGAGAAGTAATAGCAGGTAGGAGAGAGTAGGAGTATCAGCACAGTTTGTATGCTATGATGAGCGCTTACGAAAGGGTACGGAGCAGGTACCTTATGTAACCACTCCCGATCCATAGTTCGGATCACCGCGGAGCAATCCATACCCGATTATTGACTCGCACCCATATAGCTGTCTAGCTGTCTTCCAGCCGCCCAGCCCAGAAACGGCTCCTCCGCCACACCGAAACAGCAGGGCTCTGAGGCCTCTTCTGCTATAGCTTCCACGTGTCCTTCGTTCTTACTTCTTGCCTCTTGTTGAGTCCTCGTCGACACTCGTTGCTTGTCGACACTTGTTGCTTGTAATCTCTTCTCTGACGCGCTCCCGCTGCCGTCGGCAGGGGTCGGCGGGTTACATATTATTGTTATTGTATTTATAATTACATATATATATAATATATCACGTCAACAAGGTCCGCGCCCTCCAATGGGCAAACGCCCGAGGACACCTACCGTATTTATTTGTAGCACGCGATCTTGCTTCGGCAGCGGTCCTCCAAGAAAAGCCGAATCTGACGGCCGAGAAATTGCAGTGGTTGCAGCGACACGACAAGGAATGCGGTGGGCTGTATGGCGTCTTGCCGCTGTGCGTGGGCATGCCTGTTCGGGCCACAGACCACCTAGACCGCAAGCGTGGAATCCTGAAAGGCACCAAGGGCTATGTAGTCGGTTGGTCTGCGATTGCCGATGCGACACCTGCACCCGAAGGAATGGTGTGCAACAACCTGCCGGCCGTGGTATACGTGAAGTTTGACCCCGCCACGTCGTGGCAAATATCCGGTGTCCCGGACGCAAACGTCTACCCAGTTGTGACCTGTAGACGCGTGTGGTACTTGGACCGGCAACGTCGAAGCCCCAAGCTCCGTGTCTCACGCACACAATTCCCGCTGGCGCCGCAGTTTGCTATCACAGCGCATGTCGCACAAGGCCAAACCATCAAGGAAGGCGTGACGACAGATCTTTGCATAGGGCCAAGGGGAAATCCATTTACCGTCTACGTCGCCGTTACCCGCGTGCAAGGCCGTGAGAAGCTCCTGATCTTTCGACCTTTTGACGCCGCTCCATTCCAGAAAGGTATTGGTTTAGGGCGGGACCTGCTGCTCCGACATCTTCGCAGGGAACCGATCAATTGGCAGGACTTGCTGGCCAAATATTGTGAAGAACGCGCGTGTTCAACCTGCGCAGAGCGCAAGCCATCTACAGCTTTCACCGCTGGCCAGTGGAAGCGCGACGACAAAGATCGCGTTTGTCGCGAATGCACAAAGCATTACGCAGATGCCGGGACGCCATGGCAATGCAACGTGTGCAAGCTGTGGCATGTCGAGACCAATTTTCCGGAAAAGCACCGCCAACGGCAATGTAGTTTTTTCCGTGTGTGTTTGACATGTGAAATGAAGAAACCGTGTTTCAAATGTGGCGTTGCAAAACCGGAAGCCGAATTTGGACCGGCCGCATGGAAAGCTCGCAACGCGGACCGCCGCTGCTGCAGAGAATGTACCACCAAACAGCGGGGGTGTTGGCAATGTTCCCAGTGCAGCGAACGCAAGCCACGAGCAGAGTTCACAGCTTGGCAGCAAAGTCGGAAACATACGCAGGATGGTACACAAGTATGCAATACATGCACAGCCTTTGCCTTCGTGTGCCGTCTTGCTCATCGCACGAATCAACGCTTGGCCCGCTTGCGCCAACGCGAATCCCGTCAACGACGCGAAGTAATCCTAGCAGACGTTTGCAAGGAGATGCAGAAAATCCACGAGGCTAGACAAACGTCGATGGGAACAGACGAAACCAGAACGGGTGTTGCCCATTCATCGACCCAGCAGCTTGCTGCGGAGCCCGACACAGCGACGCCGCGGGTGTACATATACCTCTGCCCGCATTGCGCCAAATCTGTGCAAAGCACTGTGGCAACAGGGCAAGTCTATTACCGCCGCGGTGATGGCTGCGGCAAAAAATTTCGCGTTGCGAATCGCCTGCTTGCAGGCCGTATACACTTGCGCACACATGTCCAACATGCGGCACAGTGGTGCATTCAACAAAAGCTTCCGGTCAAATTTAAATAACGCATCGCACGCCCAACGGAAAGCAGTGTCGCACCGACCGATGGCCCGTGCAGAACTGATCACAAACGGAGCCTTTACCAAACAACAGAACCCTGCGCGCTCGCCACACCGAAACAGGAGGGCCCTGAAGGACAGACCGGGCCTGCAGGCCACCGCCCTCAGTGCCTAAAGTCACTTAACGTCGCTTTCTGCACCTATAAGAAAACTAACTCTCTTAGCTGTCTTCCAGCCGCCAAGGCTCAAACACGGCGCGCTCGCCACACCGAAACAGCAGGGCCCTCGAGGGACGGACCGGGCCTGCGGGCCACGGCCCCCACTGTCTCACGTTGCTTTCTGAACCTACAAGAAAGCTGGCTGTCTGACCTTTCTTCCAGCCGCCAATGCTCACACACGGCGCGATTGCCACGCCAAAACAACAGGGTCCTGCATGAGGGACGGACCGGGCCTGCGGGCCACGGCCGCCACGACCTGTCTTCCAGCCGCCAAGGCTCACACAGGGCGCGCTCGCCACACCGAAACAGCAGGGCCCTGAGGGACGGAAGGGGCCTGCGGGCCACGGCCCCCACTGCCTAACGTTGCTTTCTGAACCTACAAGAAAACTAGCTCTCTGACCTAAAACGGCGCCTCCGCCACAGCCAAACAGCAAGGCCCTGAGGGACGGACCGGGCCTACGGGCCACGGCCCCCAGTGCCGAACGTTGCTTTCTGCACCTACAAGAAAACTAACTCTCTTAGCTGTCTTCCAGCCGCCAAGGCTCAAACACGGCGCGCTCGCCACACCGAAACAGCAGGGCCCTGCGGGACGGACCGGGTCTGCGGGCCACGGCCCCCACTGCCTAACGTTGCTTTCTGAACCTACAAGAAAGCTAGCTGTCTGACCTGTCTTCCAGCCGCCAAAGCTCACACACGGCGCGATTGCCACGCCAAAACAGCATGCTGGGTCCTGAGGGACGGACCTGGCCTGCGGGCCACGGCCGCCACGACCTGTCTTCCAGCCGCCAAGGCTCACACAGGGCGCGCTCGCCACACCGAAACAGCAGGGCCCTGACGGACGGGGCCTGCGGGCCACGGCCCCCACTGCCTAACGTTGCTTTCTGAACCTACAAGAAAAGTAGCTGTCTGACCACAGCCAAACAGCAGGGCCCTGAAGGACGGACCGGGCCTGCAGGCCACCGCCCTCAGTGCCTAACGTTGCTTTCTGAACCTACAAGAAAGCAAGCTGCGTGACCTGTCTTCCACAGCCGCCAAAGCTCACACACGGCGCGATTGCCACGCCAAAACAGCACGGTCCTGAGGGACGGACCGGGCCTGCGGGCCACGGCCGCCACGACCTGTCTTCCAGCCGCCAAGGCTCACACAGGGCGCGCTCGCCACACCGAAACAGCAGGGCCCCGAGGGACGGACGGGGCCTGCGGGCCACGGCCTTCTGAACCTACAAGAAAAGTAACTCTCTTAGCTGTCTTCCAGCTGCCAAGGCTGCGCTCGCCACACCGAAACAGCAAGGCCCTGAGGGACGGACGGGCCTGCGGGCCACGGCCCCCACTGCCTAACGTTGCTTTCTGAACCTACAAGAAAGCAAGCTGCCTGACCTGTCTTCCAGCCGCCAAAGCTCACACACGGCACGATTGCCACGCCAAAACAGCACGGTCCTGAGGGACGGACCGGGCCTGCGGGCCACGGCCGCCACGACCTGTCTTCCAGCCGCCAAGGCTCACACAGGGCGCGCTCGCTACACCGAAACAGCAGGGCCCCGAGGGACGGACGGGGCCTGCGGGCCACGGCCCCCACTGCCTAACGTTGCTTTCTGAACTTACAAGAAAAGTAACTGTCTAATCTAAAACGGCGCCTCCGCCACAGCCAAACAGCAGGGCCCTGAAGGACGGACCGGGCGTGCGGGCCACGGCCGCCACGACCTGTCTTCCAGCCGCCAAGGCTCAAACACGGCGCGCTCGCCACACCGAAACAGCAGGGCCCTGAGGGACGGACGGGGCCTGCGGGCCACGGCCCCCACTGCCTAACGTTGCTTTCTGAACCTACAAGAAAGCTAGCTGTCTGACCTGTCTTCCAGTCGCCAAAGCTCACACACGGCGCGATTGCCATGCCAAAACAGCAGGGTCTTGAGGGACGGACCGGGCCTGCGGGCCACGGCCGCCACGACCTGTCTTCCAGCCGCCAAGGCTCACACAGGGCGCGCTCGCCACACCGAAACAGAAGGGCCCTGAGGGACGGATGGGGCCTGCGGGCCACGGCCCCCACCTGCCTAACGTCGCCCCCTGAACCCACAAGAAAAGCAGCCGTCTGACCTAAAACGGCGCCTCCGCCACAGCCAAACAGCAGGGCCCTGAAGGATGGACCGGGCCTGCAGGCCACCGCACTCAGTGCCTAACGTCGCTTTCTGCACCTACAAGAAAAGTAACTCTCTTTGCTGTCTTCCAGCCGCCAAGGCTCAAACACGGCGCGCTCGCCACACCGAAACAGCAAGGCCCTGACAAACGGACCGGGCCTGCGGGCCACGGCCCCCACTGCCTAACGTTGCTTTCTGAACCTACAAGAAAGCAAGCTGCCTGACCTGTCTTCCAGCCGCCAAAGCTCATACACGGCGCGATTGCCACGCCAAAACAGCACGGTCCTGAGGGACGGACCGGGCCTGCGGGCCACGGCCGCCACGACCTGTCTTCCAGCCGCCAAGGCTCACACAGGGCGCGCTCGCCACACCGAAACAGCAGGGCCCCGAGGGACGGACGGGGCCTGCGGGCCACGGCCCCCACTGCCTAACGTTGCTTTCTGAACCTACAAGAAAAGTAGCTGTCTGACCTAAAACGGCGCCTCCGCCACAGCCAAACAGCAGGGCCCTGAAGGACGGACCGGGCGTGCGGGCCACGGCCGCCACGACCTGTCTTCCAGCCGCCAAGGCTCACACAGGGCGCGCTCGCCACACCGAAACAGCAGGGCCCTGAGGGACGGACGGGGCCTGCGGGCCATGGCCCCCACTGCCTAACGTTGCCTTCTGAACTGCCTAGAAACGAGCTCCAAACTTAGCTTGCCCGTGTCTTCTTGCAGCTGGCGTGCGTCCTGCACAGGTCCGGTCAAAGGACCCCTCCGCAGGGCCCAAACACCATGGCACTGAAGGACGGATCGGGCCCGCAGCCGGCAGCCCACGGTGCCTAACGTTGCTTTCTGAACTGCCTAGAAACTAGCTTCAAACCTTGCTTTTCCCTGCCTTCCTGCACTGCCAACTGCCACTTTGCCTGCGTCGTCTTGCAGCTCAAACCTAGCTTTTCCCTGCGTTCCTGCACTGCCAACTGCCAACTTGCCTGCATTGTCTGACAGCTGGCTTTCGTGCGGCACAGCTCCGGTCAAGGGACTTCCTCGCAGGGCTAAAACACCATGGCAGTGAAGGACGGATTGGGCCCGCGGCCCGTAGCCCAGAGTGCCAAACATTACTTTCTGCCGCTCGTTTACTCTTGCTTCTGCATTCTTGCTTCTAACTTCTTGTTTCGTGCTTCTTTCGCTTGCTACGTTCGCTGAGACTGCCTCTCCTTTCTCGCTTCCTTTTTTTGGCTTCTTACTCTGCACCTGGCTTCCCTTTCTGTCCCCCCCTCGCTTGCCCCTCACTTGCACTGCACAACACTTGTTGCTTGTAATCTCTTCTCTGACGCGCTCCCCCTGCTGTCGGCAGGGGTCGGCGGATACATATATACTTCCTTATTTCAACATGGATCAAATATACATCTACAATTCGAACGTCCACTGATATAGCATTGCCAAAATACGCAATCCTTCCACACTTCCGGCGCGGAGAACGTCAGGGTTGCAGGGAACATCTTTTCACATTTATTTTTTGTTTTGGGTGCTACTATCCAGTTGATATATTTTTGCTATTTGCCATTGATTTCAGCCACACAGCTCGTCGTAGCGCAGGCCAAGTGTCGAAGATGAAGTCGACACATTTGCGCACCTTGATGGCAGATCAGGCGCACGTTTTGTTTGTTTCCGGGGACGACCAGTATGGGGGATCGAGGTGGATGGGGAAGGGTTTTCGGAGACACCTAAGGTGTTTGGCCCTCGAAAGATGGTTTTTCGAAGGTTTCAAAACTGGTTCTGGCTGGGATTCTGGTTGGTGGTTTGGAACATGAATTGGAACATGAATTCTATGACTTTCCATTATATTGGGAAGTTCATATTCCCAAGCACCAAGCAGGATTAGAAAGTGGTTTTGATAGACTCCTTATGGGATGTGAATGGGGTATCAGTGCAGTGGGATCTTCATGGGGAATAAAACACCCCTTCGGGACCATAGAATCGGGGTGTTTTTCAGATTAAGGGGATGGGATTAACAGCTAATGTTGTCAATGGTTTTGGCACTTGACATAGAATAAAGGTAGAAAAGTGCCCATAGCCCAAAGGAATAGCCTCCCATTCTTTGGATCCGGAATCTAGATTGGTTGGGAACCCATCATTCAGCAATGCAACCATGGATCACACAAAGGGTTTCCCCTTTAAATCTCATCACCATTTTGGTGGATTTTCTGGTCCCATTGTATGGTGTAAAGCAGACACGACTTTCGAGCTAGCGTTCCATTGGGAAATATGCAATAGGACTTAGGCATGACTTCTTGGAAACGGCGTTTAGATGGGCCGAAGGGCTCCGATCAGAGCTAGGCATGACTTAGGCGTGACTTTGTCGTTTACCTGTATCCTCTAATAAACGTTTACATAACCAAAATCACAGTTTTTAATGGGTAAATCCACTATATTCCACTATAAATGGCCATTTTCAATAGCTTTTTGTATGTTTACCAGAGGGTACCCCTTTATCGCAGTGTTGAAAGGAACCACTGCCAGTGTCAGAGCCTTTCAACTCACTGGCGAAAAAAAGCCTCGACTCGTCTGCCAGGTGCGGAACGATGCCATGTACGTCGCCAGTGGCCAGATGGTAGCTGCCCCAAGTCGGTGAAGCTCCAAGGAGTAGCCCCCTTGGGTGTTCCAGATTCTACATGCGAGCCATCATGAAATTTGCCCCTAAACTTTTTTAAACAGTATGACCAAAGATCTTGAAACACAGATCGATCACCTCGCAGCCGGAACCAGGAACCCACAGGAACCCAAAACTTGCAGGGCTCATGGGAGTCTTTACTCCAAGGATCGGGCCAATATTAGATGAATTCTCTGAATTTGTTGCAGGGATTCCCTGCTGAAAAACCTGAAACAAAAACCTCTGGGCGAATTCGAAATGCCTCACCACTTCAAGAACATTGGAGAACATGTTTCGATGGGTAACGAGGATACTCACGTTTTCAGTGGAAAAGAACATGACCCTGTTTCGGGATGACAAATCAAAACCTATCATTATCTTTTTGTTTTTTTTTCGGATTCCAGGAATCCAATGGTTCGCTATGCCATGTGTCGCATCATGTCACCACGAGGTTCTGGACTACAGTCGGCAAAAGGTGGATACTGAGACCATGTCCGAAAGCTCGGCTGTCGGCAAGCTTGGTGCTTACCGGACATTCCTAATGGGCCAATGGAGATATATAAACCAACATAACCACGGGGATAGTTTATCTATGCATCTATAACAAATTTATAACCAACTTGGATATGAAAGAAAAAATGGAAGCCATCTATTTTGACATGTTACAAAAGGTTTATGCTACAGATTGTTTAACGAGTTCGATGGGGTGATAATGCGCAACTTATATCTAGGGGGGGCCCAGTATGTATATAGCAAAATATTGCAATTTATCCAGATATATTGACATATTGACACTTTTCTTGATATATGGCTGTGGGTCAAAGCCACCTTGGTATTTCTGGCAAGACCCAAAACAGCTGGTAGATAGGTGTTCATTCATTCAAAAAAAGTAGAAGATGTTGAAGGCATTTTCCCATAACCATTAACATCCATTAACCATATAGCGACATTTCATGCTACATATCTTGAACAACATGGAATGGAAACCTGGATCTTCGCATACTTGGGCTATTTGGCAATTGCAACCAGCTTGGTAGTCTATCTCATGGGATCCCAGCTTGCAGCTTTTCAGGACCAGCCCAAGATCCCAAGAGTAGCCGTGGCTGTTCTGTGGCCGATTCACAGATTTGTCATCCAAAAGTCGTAGCTGTTTTAGAAAAATCCTAGCTGTTTTCGGGAGAAACCATTGTACCATTGGGGAAAGTGCTTCGGAAAAGTCGTGCCTTCAGCAAGAACGCGGAACGCTGGAGATCGCTGGAGGCTGATCATGTAAGCCTTTTTCTTATGAGATCATGTACTCAACACTATTGCTGGTTGGTGCTTTGGAACATGAGTGGACTATGACTTTCCATATTATTGGGAAGAATATAATCCCAACTGACGAACTCATATTTTTCAGAGGGGTAGGTATACCACCAACCAGTATTACTATGCAGATTTACATGTTTGGGATATGTTGGGCATCGCTTTGGCATCGTCACTGCCAGCTGAAAAAACATCACCCGCACCAAGGAACCTTGTTGCAGCCACCCCACTGCGATCTGTCATGTTATTTACATCATGTTTTCACATGCAAGCAGGGCAAGGAAGACCCCCAACCCCTTCGACAAGCATCTTTCGGGAGTAAGAGACAAAGGTGCGGAATCCTAGCGTTTACCTGCGGTTTGCACACGAGACGTATGAGAAGGCATTGGAAACTCATTACTGTCATCATTTGTGTTCCATGGTATTTCACTTCTTTTTAATGTGTTAAATGCATAGTTACACTTTTATTGAAGACAGCGTTCCATGCAGAAAAGCAAACGCATTTAGGCATGACTTAGGCACGACTTAGGCATGACTTAGGCATGACTTAGGCATGACTTAGGCATGACTTAGGCATGACTTAGGCATGACTTCTTGGATGCAGCGTTGATGGTAAATGCCATTCAAAAACGCGCTAGGCATGGCGGCATGATGTAGGCGTGACATTGTCGTTTCCCTGTCTTGGTTAGTCCAGCTCTAGCTGGGGTACCCACCAAGCAAGTGAAGCAATAAAAAGACAGCTAGCAGGACGTCATATTGTCCCGATGATACTACATTATACAATCTAAATTTGATTATCATATCATATATTATATCCAAAGAATTAAAGGTTATACAAGTTATACATGTTATGCAACCTGTTGCTGTTGCTTATCCCATGATGGTGGTCTGAGGTCCAAGCTCTTCGAGCTCGCAGACAAGGCGCGTTTCCACGGTCGAGGGTCGATTCCCATGAACATGTGCAGCAGAAAGTCCTGACGAAAAAATCATTTATATCGTTTGAATTAATCTCACATCTAAATACACAACATGTAGTAATAACTAATACATACATACATACATACATACATACATACATACAGTTATGTACCGTACATATTATGATGAATCTCTTGGTGAAAATAGTATTAAGTCATTGTCACTTCAGATTGCCTGAAACCAGAGACGGGGATTGAATGAGCACCGCAGAAACGATGGTGATGTTTACGGATGAAATCTCTTCAGAAAATCTACAGGAAACCAATGTTTTGTTGTTGCCATTACGTAATTACGTATGGGGTTTTCCAGTACATGCTCCATTGGTTTCTAGTATAATATGTATAATGTTCCATTGCTCCATTCAATTGGTACAGAAAACCAATGGTTTTTACCATTTTCTAGTAAATGTTCCTATCACACAATTCTAACCACTTGCATGTTTTTGTTCCGAACCAGGCAGGTGTGGAACAGAAGAAGCAGCAGATGTCACATGGCTTCGATTTTGCGGCCTATGGCAAGCTTTGTTCAAACAGATTGGTATGTTGGGTTTTTGAGGACTGGTTTCTGGTTTAAGATACAGTGGATGATTGCGAAATCCTGCGTCAGTTGATGGTAAACATCCCATTATTTATAGGGTTTCAACCATCCAAGGTCGTGGGATTTCTTCCATCCACAGTATGTTGAGATATTTTGGGTTTGATGATCCCAAATAACGAGAATATTTTTCTACGGGGGTTGAAACCACCAAGAAAACAATCAAAGGGATGGTTTTTACCAAACCTCATAGTAGGCCCAGTGCAGAAGGCATTTGTCCACTGCGGTATGAATCTGTTGGTTTCAATGTGGATGAATCAATCCATGGAATTCTCTACAGTCCTCACTTCCCCCAATATTTTCGATACCCACCATGTTCACATAGTTTAGCGAATTGGGTCTATAGTTGGTCAGTTTGATTATAGACCCAATAATTGGTCAGTTTGATTATAGACCCGATTACAATTATCATAATTTTGGGTCATAATATTGAATGACCATAATACTATGGGGATGCGATTACAAAGATGATACATCCTTGAGCCATGAGCCATAGTGCCATGATGTGCCATTGGTCGCCATTGGTCGTGGGGACATCAGCTTGCGCAATATATTGGCCCTGTAAATTGCATTACTTACAGTGATATCCGAGCTGTAACAGCTGAGAGCCAAGATGTTGGGTTTGTGTTTTCTGAAACTTGCAAGCACCTAAAAACATCTAAAAACCATGCTTAAATTCGTCATGTTTAGTGCGGAAATGCCATAGTTTGGGTCCCTAAAAGTTCGGATCGGATCGTTTCGCAGGTTTTCGGGACAGAAAATCAATGAAACCGAAGGTCGCGCTGCCGGGACGCTCGGTGCGGTCGGCAGCAGATTTGATGGGAGACCATACGTCATACGGTAATACGCCTATATATAACAGGAATATCATAGAATCGTAATAGACATCATAGATTCATGGGGAATACATAGAAATACAAGGCAACCGGTTGACTCGCCGCCCTTGTAAGGGTGACGAATTTGAAATTATGATTTTTGAGGCTAAGGGACAAAATGCTGGTATTTGTGGGACTTGTCAAAAAATGACATTCATTTGGATTGGCAGGCGTGTGACTTAAGTGTAAAAAATTGCGTTTCGGCTGCGCGTTGAATCGATTTTGCTCTTCAAGGGGTTTTAAAAAAACATCAGAATTTTATCATTTTCAATCATCCCAATCATCTCAGGAAAACATCCACCCATCCAGTTTTTTCTCTTCTCGAAGTTTCAGCGCCAGAGTGCTTTTGGCAACGCAGCGGCCACGGACTGCAACAAGGCGACATTATAACGCCATGTCCAGCTGTAAGCCCAAGTGTCCCTTTTTTGTACACTTTCTGGATTTTCTTGTGGAGCATGGACATTGGTCTCAATTTTAGCAACGGCAACATGTTCGGTAGCGTAAGTGCACTACTCGTCAGGGACGTTAATGCACTCCCCCTGATAAACATACGACAGCATGTGCAACATGTTAACAGCGGCAACATGTTCCGTAACGTAAATGCACTGCTCGTCAGGAACGTTAATACATGTTAATACCCTCCCACCACCCCCCCACATCCCCCCTGATGACCATACGACAGCATGTGCAACATGTTAACAACGCCGAAAATCAAATCCTGTACCCCCATTTCGGAAACCTTGATTTTTAAAAAATTGCAACCCTTCCAAGGGATCGTAAATGGCACACCTCAAAATTACTAACCCTTCAAAGGGCGGCGTATCAGCCGCATGCCAAATACAACCAACAATATTGAGTCAATATTGAGTAGTATTGATGTTTTCCACTTGAAAATGCAATGGTTGATTGGTGATTTTTATAATGAGGGTTCAGCCATTGCATCACTCACAGAGGGTATAACAGTATAACATATTTTAAGATATATTTTAACCACCAAACATATGGGGATATAGGCAACAACTGATGGTTGATCGGATAATTCAATCCAATTAATACTGCCTATTTTTTGACTTTTTTGTTTGACAATGAAAAGCTGGGAAATCATCGACATCATCAACCACAAACAGAGAAGTCGAATTGGGAATCAACTATATATATATGTATATATATATATATATGTATATATATATATATATATATCGGGATGGTCTGGTTAAGGGCCCCCAATGAGAGCCGTCCATTTCACAGCAGTTGAACACGAACGTTATTAGGGGGGCGTGTGAAACGTGCACAGCTTCTGTGAAACGTGCACAATATCTTGCAAACGTGGACAACTTCTATGAATCCGATGACAAGTTCTCAAACACTGCAAAGTGCTCTTAATCAGACTATACCCATATATATATATATATACACGATTTTAATTGCCAAAAAACAGGGATATGCTCCAGTGAACAAACATTGCGATTGTAATGCGAAGCCCCATTTTTTGCAGGTCATCTATATACAGATAGCGGGTTTGCCATAGGATACTCTTCACGGGTGATCCTTTGGCCAGATCCCTATGAGGTCACTGTATGACTGGCTTGCAGCCTGACTTCCGTTGCAACCAAAATAGTTTTTTGTCCATTTCCAAATCATGTTCAAAACCACTGTCCCATCATGTTCCCATCAATTCCAATAATTTTCTCTTGTGACCATCATTTCCCATCATTTTCCCATTAAATTCCAATCATGTTCCAATCATTGTCTCATCATCATGTCCCCATCATTTCCCATCATTTTCCCATCGTGCTCCCATCAATTCCAATATTTTTCTCTTGTTACCATCATTTCCCATTATTTTCCCATCATGTTCCAATCATTTTCCCATCATTGTCTCATCACGTTCCCATCATTGTCTCATCATTTCCCATCATTTTCCCATCATTTTCCCATCGTGTTCCTATCAATTCCCATATTTGTTCACCCTTTTCCCATTCTATTCCAATCATGGCCCCATCATGTGTCCATCATTTTCCCATCATTTTCCCATCATATTCCCATCATTTTCGCATCACTTTCCCATCATGTTCCCATCATTTTCGCATCATTTTCCCATCATGCTTCCATGAATTCCAAAACATTCCCTTGTTACCATCATTTTCCCATTATGTTCTGTTCTAATCATGTTCCCATCTTGTGCCCATCAATTTCCCACAATGTTCATCACTTTCCCATCATGTTCACATCATTTTCTCATCTCCCCATCATTTTCCCATCATATTCCCATCATATTCCCATCATTTTCCCATCATATTCCCATCATTTTCCCATCATATTCCCATCATATTCCCATCATTTTCCCATCATTTTCCCATATATTCCCATCATTTTCCCATCATTTTCCCATCATATTCCCATCATATTCCCATCATTTTCCCATCATATTCCCATCATTTTCCCATCATATTCCCATCATTTTCCCATTATATTCCCATCATTTTCCCAACATTTTTCCATCATATTCCCATCATTTTCCAATTATTTGTCGATTGTTTCCTCTTTTTTTGTGCCGGGTCATCTCCCCATTTTGAACGTCCAGGTCCTGCACTGTGCCCTGCGAGCACCACGCTCGGCCTCCATCGCGGTGGATGGGCAGAACGTGGTGCCTGAGGCGTGCGGGTCTGGCGTTGAGGGAACGTTTGCCAAAGCTTATGGCCTTAACATGGAGAAACATAATTATTGGATTGTTAATGGATTATGGCTATTGGATATTATTGGCATATTATTGGATTGTTAGTGGACTATGTATTGTTAATGGATAAACAATCCTCGTAGCAATTTCCTCTATAGAATGTCTATAAAATGGGGGCCTATGAGGTTCCGACTTAAATCTACAAGGGGATGATAAACATAATTATTGTTAATGGATTATGGATTATTATCCCCTGGTGCTCCAAATACCCGCTGAGAAGGTGTAACTAGGTCCCAAAAAAACACCCTCAAATACAGCCTCAGAAGGTGTTTGGAGCCCTAGATATAGAATAAGTTTGGGCTTGAACTGTTAAGTATTGGTATCGTATACAATAACAAACATGAAATAACTATATATATAACTATATATATATATAACTATATATATATATATAACTATATATTTATATAACTATATATATATATAACTATATATTATATATATATGTTGAACTTATGGTATTCTCTTCGTTGGTATTAACCAGTGGTTAGGAGGGAGCGGTTCCGAGCTGGGGGTATCCATATTCCCCAGGATGGGCAACCAGTTGGCTACGGATAGAGTTTCCCAACCACAGTTGCTACAACCACGGTTGTGCGTTGATAATCACAAGGGGGAAAAGCGTGTAGTTTTACCTCTAAGCCTCTAAGTTAAATAGTTTTTAGATCGTTTAGCCGATCTACCACCCTTATAGAGCAACCCTGAGAATTGGGATTCCTTCTGGTAAAGCCACCAAGTTTTGGTGCGTCAAAGACCAGAAGTTGGGATGTAGCCAGCACCACCAAAAAGATGGATGTCAAGCAGCTGTTGATACAGCAGAAACAGCTCGGAAACGGCAAGAAGTTGGATTTGACCAAGACAGTTGGTCTCAAGAAGAACTTATTGATGTTAACAGAAGGTAGGATGTAGGCAGTCAATGGACAGAAATATGATGATTTGATATGTTTAATATGTTTGATTTTAATATTTTAGATGTTTGTGAAATCCTCTTTCTTGCGGGTTCGGATCTCTTGACATGGTGAAATCCTTGGGATGATCCAAATTGATTACCTAGGAATTGAACACCATGAAACATCACCATCTTTGACGAATAACTCATGGTTAAATGGGCCGTCTATACCATAGCTATGTTCGTTGTTTTTTTCTGCAAGGTAATTATGTTAATCTTACTTCCCAACTTAAGATAAAAAATCGTCAAATCCTACTAAAATCTTGATGAATCGAACCTTTTATATGTTTAACCAAGACAGACGTTCGTAAATCCAACCAACAAAAAATGAATATCGTAATGAACTACTTTCTTCGTTGAACCATTTCTCCCAGCTTTCCATTGGACTGTTTCCGGCAGGTTTGGAAGGTCTTGGACGCCATGAAGGGCTTCTCTGATAAGGTGCGGATGGATTTTTTCGACCCTTGTTGGACCCCTAAATCGATGGGGAGTTAACCATGAAACAATGGGGATTACGATTGGGATATGTTGGGATATTACCGATTAAACACTTACACGGGTCCTCAACCAAGATTTAATTCTTCTTACTTGGATTTGACTTTCATGTACCCCGAATTGATCTTATATCCTAACACCGTTTATTTCTTATAACCTACCAACGTTTTTTCCTTATATCCTAACAATGTTTAAAAAAAATACCTTGGCCACGATATGTTGTTTTCTATATGTTTGGTCTAGTATTGCATAAAATAACTCGAAAAAACTTATTTTTTGTTATTGCGAAGCGAAGGTGCTCCTGAGGATATCCTTCCTTTCTAGAACTGTGATAAGCAGAGGGTTGCGTGACTTGTTTGAGATATTTTCGAGATTTCTCAGGGAGCTCAGACTTGTGCATTTGGGAAAGCCGCTTCAAAGGATGGCACTTCACAAGCTTCCGGGAAGGAAGATGGAACAGAGCTAGGTTTCCGTTTGTAGTTGCTGTGAAGGATGAAGTTTATGTTGCTCTGAAATTAAATTTCCAAGAGAGACCTGGGTTCAATTTCATTGGTGGCAATAATTATACAATTTATATTTCCCAGAAAGACGCTCTGGTTCAGGTGTCACGTCACGAGACGACCAGGAAATGCATACCACGACAAGAAAAGAAATACCACGACAAGGAATTATGTTAGAGCATGACTATATTATATTAATTTATATTACATATATACATATAATTATATATATATATATATCTTACATGCTTTTAAATTATGTCATTTGCTTGCTTTCAGAGATGCCATTGCATTTTGCCGGCCTTCGCGTCTGTGTGTCTCACTGGCCAGATGTGGATCGGATGAGTTTTCATTATTTGCTAATTTTTCCTAAATTAATCAGACATCCTCAGGTAAACATATCAACTGCAATCCTCAATGATGATTGAAGCATATTCATGACGTGTCTCAAACAAGCAGCAGGTCTGCAATTGGGTTGCGCCCGTTACATCCGCTAGCTGAACTAGCTCCATGGACTTGGCCACGATGAAGAAACAGGTGGCCTGGTCGAGCACACAGGTTCTGTTGATCCTAGATTGTTGGAAGATTATCTCTTTCGGCTTAGCTACCATTTGGGATAATCCTTATCTGGCGAAGATTCTAATGAAGTTGGATCATGTTGGACCCATAAAAAATGACCTGGAAAAGGTGGCACCGAACGCGATCCAGATCAGCGTCCCACAGCTGATTCCGATGGATGAATTGCGGAAGGCCGGTGAGAAGTGAAGCCTCTGCTTTTCTCAACGCATGTTTCTGTTTCCACAAGTTTTCATTCCTAACGGCTTGATCTGCACGGCACTTGACAATGTTGCTGCAACAAACATACCTAGCAACAAGCACTGCCGAATGAATGCGCTTCTATTGTTGACCTGTTGTAAAATATCGTTGTTGGAAGGTTGCCAGGAAGTGGAGGCATGGTTCCCTGCGGCTTGGGAGCCAATGTCCATTCTTTTCGAAGAAATCGTTTCACAGCTGGAGTGGCGTATCTTGGCTGTGAGAACAACCCGACTCGGCTATTTGTTGACAGGGGAGCAGCCTCCCGAAACATCTGCATAACACCATTTTGGTATTGTACAGCATGGTTGTATGTAGAGCAAAGAAATGAGAGCAGCCTCCGGAAATATCTGGCTTACATTATTTGGAGAAACCTTCGTCCCAGGTCTTGAAGCAAGACTTTGCGGTCAAGAGAATGATGTTTGGAACATCCTGTGGGATCTTATCATCCCGGGTTTGGCCACTTGCTTGCACTGCATCAATGCCTTTACTATATACATATATATATATATTTGTTTAGTCGTTTTTTAAATTTATCTATTAAAATTAATTAACTTTTTTTTTACTTTTGCGTATTTTTAAAATATAGCTTTCAAAATATATTCAAAAATAAGTAAATAAATAAATAAGTAAATGAATAAATAAATGAATAAATAAATGAATGAATAAATAAATGAATGAATGAATAAATAAATAAATATTATTTATATGTGTATTTTTCACATATTTCATAGATGCGCAGACGATGTTGCAACTTGGACAAGAGAAGTGGCAGCACGAGGGTCTGCAAACCCATGATTTTCTTCCAAAGGTTTTCCCATGACGCAACCCTCCATCCTTGTCTGCCGGCAGCACCGAATGAGGCGGATCCCTGTGATGTGGAAGGCCCAGCTTGGCCTGGGGCCATGTTCGTGTGCCTCGGACCCCAGCGCATGCGCGGCAACCAAGGAAGGCGGAAGCAACATGCGCCCAGGAGATCCGGTCAATGAAAGGAAACTAGATGTACAGCAGAATCTACTAATGGATGGCTATGCTTTGTTTTCAGTCAAAAGGGAGAGGTGCCTGAAGTGGGCTTTTGCAAGTCCTACGACAAAGGCACCCATGACAAATCATGGCTTTCCCTCTATTGTTTTCGGTTTGTCCCTGCTTCCTTGCTGAATCGCTCGAGGAAGTGATATTCAGAATGGCACTCCCGGTGCCGCTTTCTTAACACCTCTAACATTCCTGTACCGCTCCCATACCTCTCCATTAGCACACCGGAAAAAACCCCGTACATCTCCTATGCCACTCCCGTTGCATTGCCGTAGCGCTTCCGTAGCACTCCCGTACGACTCCCGTACGATTTGCGTGCCTCCCGTAGCATTGAGTATGTACAATAGATATTCTTGTACATCATATGATGTAGTATAAATAAAGATGCGGATTCATCTTGACATCCGTATCCGGTTCGTAGAGCCTCTAATATGTAGAATATCGAATGAACTTTTATTAAATTTTCCCTTGACATTCCTGAGTCTACAACTAAAAGCTCATGAGATTCTGGTGATTTCTTTCGCCATCCCGGCCATCCGGATTCCCTTTGCCAATGGGCGCCCAAGTGCTCAAGTTGCTCTACAGCAACGAGAACAAGGTCAAGTGTCCCAACTCCTCCGTGAGACGCTGCAGTTTCCGCCGCGCTCACACCGGCAGCGTCAGAGGCAGACCCCGCAGGACTTCCGATAACCCTGAGCCACATTCATGATGATAGATAGTGCGAATGATGCGCAATCAATTAGATCCTACCCGCCAACACAGATTGCTTGGGCAAATAGGTTGATCATCGATGGCCCGATATATTTCCTCTCTCACAAATATTTGAGAGCAGCATGTAAGCTCTATATATATGGCAATGTTCTACCATTCAGGATTGAGACATCTCTTATTGCAGGAAGATCGATGGATGCATAAAAAGAACGTAATAATTACATGTAGATAGGTAGATTAGAATAGAATAGAATAGAATCGAATAGAATAGAATAGATTAGATTAGATCAGATCAGATTAGAATAGATAGATAGATATCTGTCTATATCATTAGGCGCACTCCGATAAATCCAGCGAAATTCGGAGAAAAAGTTGGCAGGGGAGGCGCGGGAGAACCACAGGGTGCACCACCTAACGTGTACGCGGGTGCTCTAATGGGCGAAGCCGCAGGCTGGCCTGCACAGGGCGGTGCGCGCCTTCATCACCTTCCTCTCAAGCTGAGGAGGCCCAGGATTGGGCAAGTTCAAGAGGCGTCATTCGAGATTCATATGGAAAGACTAATTAATAGCCCAATCTTTACATCCTAGACGAAAAATCGACTGCACCATGATAGCTTGCAGGGTTCTGCTCATTCCATTTCGCTAAATTGCGACATCCCCAATTCCCATCCGCTCAACGCAAGATCCCTGAGATGTAGCAGCCGGCCTTGCGTAGCTTTGGACCGCATGCTGATGGCTGCTGGGAAAACTAGATGGGACAGTGATGCTTTCAGCAAAAACGACTGTGCGGGCCACCGGCTGAATTGTCAAAGGAATTTCGAAGTAATTCAGAGCTTTTGGACATACAAAAGTATGGTAAAATAATATATATATATATATGTCAAGGGGTTCACGGCTCAAGGCCCCATTGGAATGCTTCTGAGGCTTAGCCTTATAATCTTTCGTCCTTAAACCTTAAACTCTCGTCCTTATAGCCTTAAACTTTCGTCCTTAGGCTTAAAATTTCGGCCTTAGTGCTCTTGGAACCTTCAAGTACCTTTCGGATGCTTCTGGGTATCTTTTGGAAGCTTCTGGTACCTTCCGGGAGCTATCCGATATTTTCTGAAAGATTCTGTATAGGGACTCTTGGAAACCTGTTTAAGCTTCGAGGAGTTTCGGGAATGCTTCTGAAGTTTAGCCTAAAACTTTCGCTGTTAACCTCACGCTCTCGTCCATAGCCTTAAACTGTCTGAAAAAAACCTTAAATTTTCGTCCTTTCCCGTGAAAATTCGGCCTTGGAGCTCTTGGGACCTGGAAGGGGCTTCGGAAGTGCCTCTGGGTATCTTTTGGAAGCCTTCTGGTACCTTCCGGGAGTTTTCGGGTAGCTTCTCAGAGGTATACGGTACTCTGGTTTTTTTTTAAAGCTTCGACGAGCTTCGGGAATGCTTCTCAGGTTTTGCCTTAAACTTTCGTCCTTAGGCTAAACTGTTGGTTTTAAATCGTGGTGATGCACCGTCTCCGCTGGGAATTTCATGGTAATGGGGAATGGCGATTTACACTTGGGATGCTGGGAGATATGACACAACTATATCCCATTTGGGTCTGAAAATTGGGGATACCCCAAGTTATTGCAATGCTCATGGTAGGAATGATGAGACTACTTTTTTTTTGACAACTTCTCGCCCCAAAAAAGGGAAAATCACGGAGAAAAGTCCTGGATTGAAACATGGTCATCAAAGCCACCAGGGTTGCTGGCAGATGGGTGTTTCACGTCGGGGGAAGGAATTTCATCAAAAATCAAACATATTATGATACATACATACATACATACATACATACATATATATGTAAACCGATAATATAAACGTACAGTAATTGATACTTATCAGATATCACATACATATAAATTTACATGCATACATGCATACATCCATCCATCCATATATATATATACATATTCATACACTATACGCGCATATTATCACGCATATTATATTTATATTTATCATTGGAAACATGTTGATATTGTTTTTCTTGAAAAAACTGTTACCCTTAGTATAAACATCCATGTCGTGCACGTTTTAATCGCCAGGTTCGTTCCGGCGAATGGAAAGGCTTCACCGGCAAAGCCCTGACCGATGTGGTGTGCATCGGGTCAGCCCAGCGGGTCCCCGGGTCCGGAATGAGATTTGAAATTGGACTAACCATTGGACGTGTCAAAAAAAAACATCATATTGTTAATGCCGCCATTATTATCATTAGATCTCAGTTATGTTATTGGATGTATATCAGTTATTGTTAGAGACGGTTTTAATTTGGGTGTACTATTCATTTTCCGCATATGCACCAGAGTCATACGGGGATAGAATGCAATCAGGAACAGTTTGCTAGATTCAGGCATCGTTCTCAAATACGGTTTGCTTTCAGACATGGTCATGGTCTTGTTAGACAGGATGCCAAGACGCAGTTGCGGGCACTTGCCTGACATGTTTGACTGCTGGTGTTGGTTCTGCATTTTTTCGCAAATTTGTCTCTATTTGACAAACCCAGTTGACATTGCTTCACTGGCAAATGTGTGTTTCAAGATGTTTCAAACACCGACCGGGTTTTTGATGTTGTAGACAAGCACTGGCTAGTTAGTAAGAGTATGCGGCCCAGGAAAATGCAATGTCAGCGGGTCAAAAGCAACCACAGCACCAACAACAACTAGAACAACACAGTGACCTGACACCCGACCTGGCAATGGCATATCCCCATTTTCCAGTGGAACACCTATTGATCTATCTATCTATCTATCTATCGATCGATCCATCCATCCATCCATCCATCCATCCATCGATCCGTCGATCCATCTATCCACCTATCTATCTAGTTATTTGTATTCATGATATTATAGTTTATTTTGATTGCAAGTGCACTTTGTCAAGCCCACCAGTTTCAAGTTGATCACCAAGTTGGAATGCCTTGGGCACCATTTTTTCTTTTTCCCAATAGGAAATCCACTACGACTCGGGAATCGCAAAAGGGAAGATGTCTATTTTTATATTGGGGGGGTTCTTAAGCAAATCCAAATTGTTGGTCAATAAACTGGGGAATCTAGTGAAAATGTTGTCATCTCGAGGTTCATCTAAAGCAAATCCCAGACTGATGCGTATGAAATTTGATCTTAAAAAAACAACTACCGGAATATTTCATCATATTTCAACATCTATTCCCATAGGATCCATGTATGCTATATATGGTAACATTTACCATCAATACACCCCAAATGTTAGCATATATAGCATACATGGATCCTATTGGATTGGAGATGCTATTTCCGACTTCCATGAAGAATTTCTTTCCAACTTCCACTTGGATCTGCTGGATGTGAGATCTCCGTGTCAGGATTGGAGGCTCCTACCTGGGCGTGGAGTTTGTCTACGAAGCCTTAAAGACCGACCCGGAGGCACCGGGTCCCGGAGCCCGATCAAACATGATATGTGTTCTACAAAGTGTCGTTATATAATATGTTCTTATCACAGTTATATAATATGAAATAATATGTTATATACATCCCGCCAATTATAATAGCTAGATAATATGTTCTAATCACCATCCCTGTAAACGTACTTGGAATGTACTTAGGATACATGTGTGGAATGCATTATATTTAGCAACCAGCTTGGTCATCAACCAACTGAGCCATCTTCCAATGGGGCCACCTATTGGTATAGAGTTGTCAACCATAGTGACATATGGATATATATGTTTATTAACCAATATTTTTTACCTATTCATCTTCCAATTGTTCATCATTTTTCCATGTACCCTCTGGTAAATAAACATAGACCCTGAAAATCACAAATTTTTAATGGAAACTAATCTTCCAACCCCCATCTGCCAGGGACTATGTTAATTTACTGGTGGGTATAATAAATTCCCTCCAACTGACCCAGTGGACCCAGATGCCTTGTCTATAGACATCGGAGGCTGCCGCAGCAGCCAGCGGTCGCAAGTTGCGGTTCTTGGCCAATGTAGACCCCATCGACGTGCAGAGGGCCTGGTGACCCGAATCCGGCACGTCGGTGGGAAGGTTGGGGAGGAGGATTGGAAGGGTAGGTTAGTTGCCATAAACCATAGAAAGGGGGATATTGGGGATATAACATGATATAATGTAACTATTGTGAAATTATAGAAATTTACCCAGGTATATTAATGCCCAATATGGATATGGAAATATATAGGGGAACACCCAATGCCGTAAACCCACCTTTTGGGGAAATTTATACTCTACCCATTTATGGTGATTTTGGGGATTGTTTATTGTTGGGTTTACCACATTCGATGTTTAGCAGGGCTGCTCCCAACACCCCAGATACAAGGGGGACAAGATTGGCCAAATTAAAGAGGGACAGTGACAAATCTACCCCCATTCCGGCAGGCACACAGAATAGGTTGTAGCAGCCCTGTGTATGTATGAGTGCAGGCTATGTATTCAAGGTAGTGCCCCAGTTCGTTCGCCAAGTTGGTTCATAACTCCAATACGTAGCTAGGGTTTATGATACATACCTATTTTGTTTAATGGGTTTTATCAACCAACTTCTGACTGGTGGTACTAGATGGTGGTGTGATACCTTAGAGAGCCCAGCATGACAACCCCTCCGCAGATAGCACCGGAAGACGGAACTCAAGGACTTCGGACTATGTTCAGACTTAGACTCAACCTGAATCAGTTTTCTCAATCACTTGAATCAATGAGTCAATGGGTATTGTAATTATATATATATATATGAAATGCAGAAGCTAGGTTCTTTCCACCTTTTGTGTGACTGCTGGTGTCTTTTATCACATTTTCTGTTGTTCTTGCCTGGAAGTTGTGACTGTATTCCGTTGTTTTCGGGTAGTTACCTGGTTGTTCTGCTAGTGATACCTTAAAAAACATCAAGACATATCAAGACCCTATGGCATTCCAAACAAAAGGTATGTTTTACTCTCCACATCTACTTTGCCTATTGCTGTTTAGACCGATCGTTTCTGCCTTCCAGATCATTCTTGGTTGTATCCCTGATGAGATACAGTAAACTGGGTACACATATATACAAGTATGTATATATATATATACATAAATAGAATCCCCAATTTGCAAAATAAATCCCCAATGTATAAATAAATCCCCAGTGCCCAGTGCAGTTGCTTTATGAGATATGCATTCATCCCATGTGATTGAGGCCCTTGAAGGCTTGAACCCAGAGACGACCTTGGTCTGGAGCCCAGAGCTCTGAAAAACGAGCTGTATATCCTTTAGGAAACTAACATAGCTATGGGACATTTCCATTTGTAGATGGTTTTGCTGTTGAAAATGGTGATTTTCTATGGCTACGTTTGTTTACTGGAGGGTATGGGTTGTTGGATTTTTTGCGGACAACTGCATTTTGTCCAGTGGTTATATCATCATCATTTTCACGACTCAAATAGTGAAATTAGGGGGCATACGCCATTTTTCACACACCCATATGATCGTAGATGTCTACTGAATGCCATTCACATGGTCACTTGGACTTTCAATCTACGATTCTCACTCTATTTGTGAATATATATATGTATATATATATATATTATACACAATGTTTTATACTACGTGCATATATATATAAAGAAGATATATGTATATATCATATATATATATGTCATAGTTATATATATATATATATCATATATATATATTCAAAAATACAGAACTTCCAAAAAGATAGACAGATAATTTACGACTTTTTTTAGTTGGAATTTCCCCTTCACTGTTTTCTTTGGTTTGATATATATATATATATATATTTATTTACACATGTATGTACAAACACAGAGTGAAAGGGGAGAGAGAGAGAGAGAACGCAACTATGTAATCATTGGGCTTATACATATGTAATGATTGCAAACACATATATGTCAAAAGCTATGACACAACCTAACTAGAGTAATGAGTCGTCACGGTGTTTTTATCATGTCAGCAAAACAACATATATATTAACACATACATAGAAATACATCATACATACATATTACATCTACATACAGATAGTATTCATATTTATTTGTATATACATATTATATTATCTTATTATCATATATATATATATCATATTATATTATATTATATTATCATATGTTACACAATAAATGAAGAGATTGACATTTTTAGGTGGTGATCATCTCCAAGACCTTCACCACTGCAGAGACGATGCTCAATGCCAAGACCGTCAAGGCGCATTTCTGAAAAATATATGTGGGCCACATATAATATATGGATAGTATTATATGATTGTGACTGGATACAGATACTTAGCTTGGGATATAACTGGATAAATGATGATTGACCTATACTTAACTTGGGATATAACTGGGTAAATTGATTGACCTATACTTAACTTGGGATATAACTGGATAAATGATGATTGGCCTATACTATACTTAACTTGGAATAAAACTGGCCACATATAATATATGGATAGTATTATATGATTGTAACTGGATACAGATACTTAACTTGGGATATAACTGGGCCTATAATAATATGGATAGTATTATATGATTTTGACTGGATACAGATACTTAACTTGGGATATATAAGTGGATAAACGATGATTGGCCTATACTTAACTTGGAATATCACTGGCCACGTATAATATATGGATAGTACTATATGATTTCACTGGATACAGATACTTAACTTGGGATGTAACTGGCCACATATAATGTATGGATAGTATTATATGATTGCGACTGGATGCACATACTTAACCTGGGTTTTAACTGGATAAATGATGATTGACCTATACAGAACTTGGGATATAACTGGCCACATATAATATATGGAAAGTTTTTTATGATTGTGACTGGATACGGATACTTTACTTGGGATTTACTGTAACTGGACAAATGATGATTGACCTATACTTAAATTGGGGCCAGCACAGGAATTTGCCAGTCCAGCCATTGTCGGAGGTATGCCCACGTGCTCCATGTCTGGTAAAGATTAGTAATGGTTAGTAATGGAATATGTAATGCAAAGTAGATTACAAACAGTTGCCCGCAACATGGCAACATCACCCATCTAATGATTGTAATGTAGTTTATGGATATTTATGGTAGTTGTATGCTCACCCTTTCGCCTTACTGGGTTCCCGGTATCGCTACAATTTGCGATTAAACATTGATTAAATCAAACATGCGAAAGGGACACCTTGAAACCAAAACCATGTTGGCAAACAGATTGTTTTTTTGGTTATAGCGACTTCAGAACGACCTCACCAATTTATGATGGTTGGAAAGGGAATCATCTGGAAAATTGGCGGTTATCTAGTTTAGGAAGAAATGAACATTGAATATGGGCAGATCATGATTGTTATTATCATGCCGGAATTGGTTAATTGGTTGAAGGGAAAATTTGCAAGAAAAGCTTGCAACAACTACTGTGCTGGTATAAGGTTAAGATTCTCACTCTAAACCAACCCATTGATATTGATATAATCGGATCAAATTATATTGGAAATCATAGATTGAACTCGGATCATTATTTGTTCAAAATCTTGAGTACTATTTGCATAGATCTTTGATATTGAAATCTGATGTTTAACTAGGACTGCTATTGACAGTAGTATTACTAAGATCATTTACCATATATTATCATTATTATCAGTAATATAATATTACTAAGATCATTATCATATATCATTATCATGATTCTATGTTATGATTGGAATATTACTAAGATCATTATCATGATTATCATTATTACTGTAATTATTACTATATGGAGGTTTCCTGAAGTGGAGGTGCCCCTACATCATCCATTTTAATAGGATTTTCCCTTATAAACCATCCATTTTGGCGATCCCCCATTTGTGGAAACCCCATATAAGATGTATCAGTATCATTAGGCTATAGATCGAGCTTAGATAGATCTATCGCTTGGCGTGTTGAGCTCCTACCAGGCATGGTTGGTGAAGGCGATGGGCGAAGACTGTTGGGACCTCGGACGTTGCCGTGGTTTGGAAATGAACAGTTGGGTGGTGGTGGTGGTGGTGGCTTTATGTTGGTTTTATATATTTTTTTTTTAAAGCTGAGCAGTGCTCAAAACCCATGTTAGTTGATGATTAGTTCGGGGATTATACTATTACAAAGAAACGTTTGGCATGTTTTAAACCTCTAACACTTACGTGACACGAAACTGCCCGATCTCTTATGGGCTTTTGATGATTTTCTAATTCAAATTTCGGCCCAGGTGTGGCGAAGCACGTGGTGGCCTGCTCTACAGCACTGGATAAGACCAAGGTTGGATCGTAGGGGGGTTCATCGTAGCTAGTGTGGTTTTGTCAGCAGTCTGGGAAAGCCAAGAAAACTGCGCTAAAGTCGCTACTAAGTTCAAGAACATCTGGCAAAAAACTTCTTGAGATATCTTGAGATATGAAAACTTGGGAGAAAGTTCAACAGCTGCAGTGAACCTGTTGCAATCCCGTTGTATTTGGCCTGTAACCATTGCAACAAATCACTCATCCAACCAATATCTGATTATATACTGGCCTTGACGATCGCGGGTCGTGAAAATGTGGTTGTCTTTTTCCAGTCGGTTCCATGCAGCATCAGCGTCAATTCCATCATGCCTACCAATTTTGGCATTAGACAAATAGATAAAGACTGAACGGCAATCCAGCCCTTTTCAAATCATGGAATCTCAAAGGTATTTTCTGGTTTTGAAGGTTTCGACCCTTGATATCACAGTTGGATTCTGGTTGTTTAATTCCAACAATGCGGCTTCACCGCCAACTGCTGTATAGTGTAGCTCCCAAGACTTCCCTGGGTATTGATAGATGACCAGTCCAATGTCCTGCTCCCACTGCTCCCATTTAGGGTATTTTGGAACGAAAGTATCAGAATTGTTGTTTTACTGGAGTTCCAGCTCCATTTCTTGTTAGGTATAGTAGTATAGGCGGTATAGGTTGTCAACCCACGAGCAATTGGTCGGACCCATTCAGAAGATCATCCTAAATTTGAATACTGTGCATGTGATGGGCCCAATGAATAGACTAGAAATCTGAATAGACCCAATAGCAAGCCAGGATTCTTAGGCTGATATCTAATATTAGGATATATTAGGGGTATATAAGGGATTCCATCTTCTATAAGCCACTTAAGCGCTTTTCTAGACGGTATATCTCCAGTAAGAAAACCTCGTAACCATGCTTCTTCACTTCGTGCGAACCATGGGATGATCCTCCCTGTACTTTGGTACTTTAAAGATACCCTCTAGACTCGCATGTACTGTAACGTGGTAGTGGAAGTGCCCCATGTAACTACAAAGACATCTAAAAGACATGCGGATGTGGAAGTACCCCATTCCAGTATTTTTAGATGTATGGTGCATCTTTTTGCTTTTTTAATACCACCCCAAGGACATCTAAAAAAGGGGTATTGAATATGATTGAATCCATTTCCAATCGACTTGGAACCGGTGACAGTCAACGGAACTCAAACATGTCATAACGTGATATGACATCTTAAGTCATAACATCATATATTTCCAATGGATGCCCCAATCAATTTCAATGTTTCATTGGAATATGTATATATATATAATAAAGTGTATACATGTATATATATATATATAGATACACATAATATAATATACACTATATTATATATAATTTATATATATACACATAATATATTCCCAAACATACTCCCAATCATTTCTGGATGTTCTGGCTGGGATTTTCTGGCTCCCCATCCAGGCCTTTGGCATCGACTCCAACAACGTCTTTGGCTTCTGGGACTGGGCGCGGGAGCCCGGTTCCATCCGGTTCCGCTCCGCTAAAAAAGCGCCCCGTAAAGGTCTGTGCCGGTGGAGCCGGGTGCCAAGTGAAAGGTTGGTGGAAAACACCTATAGTTTACCCTCTGGTAAACATTCACATAGCTATTGAAAATGGCCATTTATAGTTGGATTACCCATAAAAAAATGTGTTGTTCAATAGTTATGTTAGTTTACCAGAGGGTATCTACCTCACATATCCATAAATGAACATTTTCTAAACATGGGAGTAGCCCAAAAACGCTGGATGGTTTATTTCATGGACAATCCATCTAGAAAATTCTAGAAATGGATGATGACTGGGGGTACAGGAAATCACCAAATCATCATCCTCTAGTTGCAGCTCTAATTTCGAACAACTTGGCTGAGGAACTGACATTTGGGTGGAGTCAGATGATCCAACCTGTGGCGACTTCGGTCGATGGAAGATTTTTTTTTCATCTGATGTCTGAAATCAGTGACCTTGTTTCAAGTTGGTGATATATCTATGATTCAACGGCTGTATTTCTGCCATTCTACTGCCAATGTTCCGAACCATATTTGTGCAGATCCAATCCCTTTGTGGCATTAGTGTCCAATCGCAAGCTCCTCAGTGTTTGTCTCACCTTACCATCCTCTGGTATGCTCCATCAAATTCATTTCGAGGATATACATACAACATCATAGAACTTGTAATATCATTCTATTCATGGATTCCCAAAATAACCGGTATCTAGTGGTTGTATCGAACTATTGTGTGTTCATATGTATATATACGTATGTATAATGATAATACTACTACTACTACTAATAATAATAATAATAACAATGTATATATATATCACCATATATACAATTATATATATAACCATACATATATATATATATATACAACCATATATAAATATAACCATATATATATATATAACATATATATATATGTATAACCATTTACATTTATATATAACCACATGTATATATATATAACATATATACAACCATATTTATATATAACATATATATATAACATATATATAACCATATTTATATATAACACATATATATATATATATATATATTTATTTATATCAACATATATATATATATAGCCATATATATATATATATCAACATATATATATATATATAACCATATATATATAACCATATGTATATATATGTATGACCATATATGTATGTAACCATATGTATTGTATATATGTATATTTATACATATATATATATATACACATATCCTCAGAACCTAAATGACCCTTGTTTGGGAGCTGCTGCCCCGTGGGAATGGGAGATGACCCATCCAGGTGGGAGGTCGTTTCTCCGTTTGGAGTGCCGTGGGAGTTCTGGCGTTGTCTCTGCAGCAGGGACACCCAGGACGACGTGCCGAGCAGAGGCATGGTCAACGAAGAAAACACCCATTTATGGCAATATTAGGGATGGAAATGATGGATATACCTGGGTGTATATATTATGATTATATAAGGATCTGTATGTTTAAATATATATATATATACATATGGCTATATATATATATATACATATGGCTATATATATATATTCATATGTATATGTGTGTATGTATATATATATATATATTGATATATATATATTTATTGCTATATATATATATATATAAATAGCAATATATATATATATATATATGAATACATATCTGGATAGATGGTATGGTCAATACATGTTATAACAACCCAAAAATAGATATAAGATTTGGCCATGACCCTGGGTTTTCGGGATCAATTGGTGGACCTGTGTTGGCACGGATCGAATGGCGTAGCTGCGGATGTTGGGAGAACACCCACAACTTCAATCTGGGAACATAACTGGTTGTTGGTTTGGAACATGAATGGATTATGACTTTCCACATCTTGGGAATTTCATCATCCCAACTGACTATGACTAATATTTTTTCAGAGGGGTTGAAACCACCAACCAGCAATGGTCTTGCATAGTTTATTGACATTGCCCCATTTATATTGCAATTCTGCGGGGTATTGAACTTGAAGGCTGGAGCTGCTTGGAACTGGGATGATGAGAACCCACCGTGAGCCAGTTTGAATCAAGTTATGCTGTGTAACCCTGTATAGTATAACCCCAACATACGGGGGAAGGACAAACACATATCCTGGCCATTGTGGAATTCCCCTTAAGTTGACAATTGGGGAAGCGTACCAGGGTTTTTATAAACCTTCAAAATCACCCAAAAACTTTCCATGAAGTTTCACTTTTCAATAGTTTTAAAGTGTTTTATGAATCCAAAACTGATTGGCGATGATTGGTGTTTTTCAAGCATGTTTTTCATGATCAACCCTTGAAATGGGAAAGGATTTTTCATCTCCAGGGGGCTCCAGGCTCCCCTCGTCCAAGGTATGGCTTTGGTGTGGTGAACTCCTTTCTTGAAGGAGGGCCAGGGGCGCCCAGCGTCCTGGAAGATAGGCCAAATGGTTTAAGGCAACCCCCAAACGGATAGTAAAGTCGTTCCTGGTTGTGTATATATAACTTATATAAGTCTATAATATACAATAGATGTTGCATTTTCTTATTTATCATATTTACGGGCATCTACTTAGAATCTACTTCTGATTTGGAGGTTTCCCACTTTTCCATGCTGAGAGCTTGAGGCATGCCATGGATGAACATTTCCAGAAGGCACGGACCCAGGGATCGCCGTAGTTCGGCCCAAACAAATGTGCACATATTGGATGGATAGCCATCAGAGATTGGGATTTAACATGATTTAAACAAAAACATTTAACATTGTGACTCATTGACACTGTGATATTATATAACTAATCTATAATCATTAGTTAAGTTAATGTTAATATTAGCTAAACATTGTGAAATATGATATTAACTAATCTATACTTTCGAAGGGAAACTTCTTATTTTTACCTCACATTTTCTTCCTCTTGTATTTGGTGAGTTGGGAGCAAGCCTGTTTTAGGAGGAGAAGCAAATAGATACCTTCTTGGTTGAGATATACACACACCATATTACATATTTGAATGCCTATGTCTCGACGATGAGCGTGGACCATGCAAGTTTCTGAAGGGTTGTGGCTCCATTTCCGGGGAGTAATACGTTCTGGCAATCCAAGATAGCAATGGGGAATCCCACGTTCTTGTCCTGGTAAATTTTCTGTCTCAACTTAATTTATAGTGCTAGATCATTAAATAATAGTGTTGTTCTCATGAAATGATAGTGGTTCTATGATAGATTGACACCACTGATATTAAAAAAAGTCTCATTTCTATCACTGAGATATTCTATGTGATATCAATATCAATAATTTATTACTATATATGTCTATTAATGTATTACATATTCTATAGTCTATCTACATTATATATATATATACAATTATACATATTTCTGTACACTATAATATATAAATATATGTATATATATATACTTCTATATATGTCTGTTAAATAGGTCCAATGGTACTGATGTTTGTTGGATTTCATTTCTAGTCGCGTCTAGTCGCATCGCCAGGCGGCGGCCAAAGATAATCTGCCCCTGATCCTGGGATTGCTGGACGTTGGGGGGCCACAGATCGTAGAGTTGGAGGTGTTTTCTCAGTGGGCAGTCCTCCAGAGGGGCCTTACTGTAGAAAAAAATCTATAAAAATATCACTGATTTATGTGTATTTATATGCACATCGACAATATGGTATAAAAAGGAAACATCGACACATAGCTGGTTGGTGGTTTGGAACATTTTTCTTTTTCCATATATTTGGACTGATAACCCCAACTGACTAATATTTTTCAGAGGGGTAGGTATTGCAGAAGGTATCTACTTATTCTTTCTATAGGTTTTAAACACCTAAATGTTCCAAAGGGCATCATCCCAGTGAACTACAGCTTGAAACTTCGCAAAGTCTGTATCCATTCTGTTACATAGACACGAAGTCTTTTCTTGTGGGATTGCCAATGGATCAATGGGTCTGAAAATGGGATTCATCCCCCTAAAACTGTTAATATTCATTGAGGATTAATGAGGTGTTCATGTAAAAAAGCACCGATTTTGAAGGGTTTCCCTAAGATTTTCAGATACCCTCTGGTAAACGTTAACATAACTACGCAAAACCACCGTGTTTGATGGGTAAATCCAGCTTCGATCGCCTTAATGGTTGACCTAGGTGTGGAATGGCAGCCTGTTGGGCTACGAAGGTGTGGCCATCCTGCCCTACTGCCAGGCCTGGTACGGTCCCGGTAGCGGTGAAAGGGTGAAAGTTATGAAAAGTCACGAAACAAGAAGGTACTTGACATGTTATTACCATAGATTTGTTCGGTTTATTCTTCAGTATCTTAAAGTTTTCACCATTAAATACTTGAGGTTATAAGTCAGTTGTAACTTTTAAGGGCTTTAGGCTATAGGTGAAACATCCAATGTCTGACCCGTATTCACATTCCAACAGATCCCATGAAAGAGAAATATCATATGTTAGTTAACTACCCTTTTCTATTTTTTCTGTTTTTTGCATTTGCGTTTGCTAACATGAATATGAAATTGTTGCTATGTTTTTCGAAATTCATCCATTTCCCATTTTTGATGGTAAAAATCCCTGATGTATATTGACCATGGTACATATTGAATCATATTGAGTGAGTTAGTTATTTCCAATTATATCCAGCTATTGTCACAGATCATGCATTATGTCCTATTGTAGTTACCCTCTGGTAAACGTTTACATAGCTACGGAAAACCACCATTTTTAATAGGTAAATCAACTATTTCTATGGCCATTTTCCAGTTCGCAACACGTTAAAAGCCACGTCATCCGTTGGCCTTTTTTGGTCGGACACCTGGAGATGGTTGTGGTTCCTGTATGCTGTAATCGTTTATGTTCAACATTCCATGAATGTTTATAGAATCCATATAATATATTAATATATATATATTAATATATATATATATATATATTAATATATATATATATATATTAAAGATCCCATATTTTATGCCACAACGAAACTATCCCACAATTAATCTATTCCACGTGATGTATTCCATAGCTAGTTCGAGTTTTTCTGAGATCCGATCCCGAAATACGAGTTCTTCGGAGGTTTGCTTGGATCCATAGGAAATGATCATGGTCATCAATAATCATACCTCTATAATGATATATATAATTTATATAATCGTTAGAATTTTCCATCTTTGTTGAAGTGATCATTGCAAAACAACGACGCACTTTTTCGGTGGCGCGACGCGACACTTTGACGTTCATCGAGGCCCTGCTTCGTTTCGTGCCACACATCCAGCAGCTGGACATGGAAAGCCTGGCAACTCAGGGCTGGTGGAAATTTCTTTTGGTGTTGACCAGCCAAAAGATGAGGATTTTACTACCAAAAGGTGAGGAACAATTTTTGGGAAAATGAGGACTTCACCAAGTTTACTAAATATGTGTATCAAAAGTTGCCAACTGGAGGACTTGACTGACTTGACAACTAAGATGATGAAAAAAAAAAATATATCATGGATGTTTACGGATCTTTGCTCTCGAGGGTGAAAGTAGTAGCCAGTTCTGGCTCACCGCTCCGTGGGATGATCCTCGCCAGCAACGAGGCAACGGCAAGGGCGTGCAAATGGCTCGGGCGGCACAGTGGCACAGCCTGTCCGACTGTCCGCGGAATTCACCATAGATGGGTGGATTTTCCATCTCAATTCAGCGAAAGAGAAAACTAAATCTGGTAAACATACAAAAAACCATGGAAAGATCCACCATTTTCAATGGGAAAATTCACTATTTCTATGGCAATGTTCAATAGCTATGTTGGTCATTACCAGAGGGTAAATCTGGAAAAAAAAAACAATTTCTCCAGCTATTTCAGAAGTCGTTCGATTTGGTGACAACACTGGCCAGAATTCGATCAGCACACATGGCCGTTTGGTAGGGTGAACCATCAAGAGTCCGTTACATGTAACACAACAGAGTACAGATTCATGGTGAACCATCTGATGTTGCTTCCAAGCTTGACCCATGCTGAGCTGACTAAGAAAACGTTTTCCCCTCTGGTAAACGTGGAAAACATAGCTATGGAAAACATCACTCTAATATGTATAATGTGGTTTAAAAAAAATAAACCAGCCCATTTTTGATGGTCTCTACCACCCATAAAAATGGTGATTTTGGGGATGGTTTGTGAAATTGTTTTAACCACATCAACTATTTCTATGTGCCAATTTCAATAGCAACACGTAGCAAATTACCCGAGGGATCCCGATGTGGGAAAGCCAATGACATGGAACGATCGTCCTATGGCTCCAAGGACGGCACTCCTGTGGCGGTGCCCACCGGCGCCATTAACTTTGGGGAGCCTGGAACCAACGGCCAGGGAGACCCAGATGACGAGAGGAATTCTTTGCTGCTTGGTTTCAAACATGAATGGATTATTGTCCATTTCATATATGGGATATATGGGATGTCATCCTTCCCATTGACGAACTCCATGATTTTTCAGAGGGGTTGGTTGAAACCACCAACCAGTTTGTGAATCCCATGATGGATTTGACTGGATTTCACCATCCAGGGGGGAAAATGGAGGTTTTTGACAACAAACATATAGGGATTTAAGTGATGGATAATGCATGAAACATCCAGGGGCTCATATCGAAATTGGGAAACCACCAAACTTGGGGGTTTCAATGAATTTCATCATGACAAAATTGGGGTCTAAGGATCAAAGTTGGGGATTTCGTCAGAATACACCGCATATCCCAACTTACATATTATTCTTGTTTTGATGTACTGACTGCAGGGGAAGCTTAAATTACAGCGCTGTACCCTTTGATAAACTAAGAGGTAGCTATGGAAGATCATCTCTTTAGATAAATCTTCTATTTTCTGCGTCATTTTCAGCGTTCAGCGTAGTGTCACTTTCCTGCGGCTACGCCCCAGCCCTTGAGGTCAACACAGTTTCTACCAGTTGATGCATCAGGGCCGTGTAGTGCCTTCGCACTTCATCGGCTTTGCGAAGTCTCAAAATCCAGCCACTTGAAGAATGTCGCGTTGTAGGTGGATGTGTTGGTTCATGGGGTTATGGCCACCGATAGCTAAATAGATTTAAACACTTGGCCTCACCCCGTGGGTTTATGAGGGATATAACAATACTATTCATGGGGTTATGAACCAACTGAACCAACATTTTTAACTAGGGGGCTTCACCTTGTAGTTTTTGCCATGTCAAGCCATGTCAGGCCCCCAAGTGTTTGGGTGGTTTACCCTCTGGTAAACGGGCTAACATAACGGAAAATCACCATGCTATTAATGGGTAAATCCACTATTTCGACTGGGCCATGTTCAATAGCAATACATTAAAAATTACCAGAGGGTATCCAACCATTAACACTTATTATCCACTATTCACCATGATAAGTTCGTTATTAACGACTATTATAGAACCACTATTAACCCCTTTTTTGCTGGCGAAAACCAGGGTGAAACAACCATTTTTCATCACTAAGGTGGAGCTTCCGGGGGAGGCAGTCACCAACCACGATGAGCTCATGTCGAACTTCTTCGCACAGCCAGGATCCGACTGAGCCATGCGAATCAAATGTGGAGAATCCATAAGGAAATTGATCCCATCTATGTAGTTGAAATATAGATCCATTCATGTGAAATATAGCAACCTATATTAATGGGAAATTGAAGGTTTTAAGATGTTATAACATGTTTCAATGGCAAAAAGATCATCGTTAAGATCATCGTTCAATGATGTTTCAATATGGCAAAAAACATCGTTAAGATCAGTTAAGATCGTTAAGTAAACTAGCCATGCTGGAAGTTCCAGGTTTGATTGGAGGCTAGCCATCAAAATCAGCAAATGGGTGGATCCTTTGGGATCTTGTGGGTGGCTCGGTCAAGAAGTTGAGGTATGTTTGTTGGCTACACCGATACTCCTGGTGGGTTTTATGGCATGATTTCAGACAAGCAACAGCCAAAAGGGGAAAACCACCCGATGAAATGATGATATACTTTATATATAATTATATATACATATATATATATATATATTATAAAAGTATATAATATATATATATGTTATCTGTACATTACTATAGGTTGCTATATTTCACATTTGCGGAAACCTGAGAGTGGCCATGGGTTTAGAGATTTTTTCAGGATGAAGTCGATTGAAACAGCCTTGGAAGGTCAGCCATTTTCATAGTCGTCTTTTGCCAGCAAGCATTCCGGAGAATATCAAAATGGTATGATAATTCTAAATGGATATTCTCCCTTTATGGTATGAGAATTCCATTTATCAATATCTAGATCGAGATTCTACATCGGTGGTTTCAAACATGTGTGATTTGAACAATCCGAATTGATGATTCTACTTGACTGAGATTTCAGGGGTCGAAACCACCAGCTGGCAGTAGATTTGTTACATCTTTCGGGCACAATGACTTGACGAGTGATGATACCTGTGACTTGTCGCTCTAGTATTCATGTGACTGTGAATGGGCTTTGTAAACCAACTTAGCTATCATTGGGAGCCCCACATCGTATCAAGTTTATCATGTTATCCGTTATGAATCAGTATTAAGACTTATTATCCAGTATATTCACCATTATTAACACGCAGTATCCATTGTAATTATATGAACCATTCACCTATTATTAACACTTGTTAAACCCAGATACCCAGCCGTGGACGTTGTCAGATGCCTTGGCTCTGGGAAAGACCTCCGAAGAGTTGAAGGTCCGGCCCTCCGCGGGTCCAAACCAACGGGAAAAAACACAGAAAAAACATGGAAAAAACACAATAATTTACTGATGATGTGACGTATTTTATGGGGAAATTCCACGACTGGGGAATCTCTGGGATATATGTGTGTTTTTGTCTTACCCTCTGGTTATGACTAACATAGCCATGGAAAATTGCCCATTTACCCCATGGTTTACCTATTAAAAATTGTGATTGTTCCATGGCTATGTTAGTCATAACCAGATGGTTATTGCACCACCAACCAGATATTAGTTGTTGGGGGGTGTCCTTCTGCAGCAAATCCAAGAAAAGACGGTGGTGAACAGACGGGTGAACACAAAAAAACACTTCAGATGGCAATCAGCTAACATTGACTAACATGGGAAGACTGGGAAAATTGACTAATATTGACTAACATGCAGTGCTAAGATTGACTAACATTGACTAATATTGACTAACATTGACTAACATGCAGTGCTAAGATTGACTAACATTGACATACATTGACTAACATGTAGTGCTAACATTAAATAAGATTGGGAATACTACCAGCATCTTCGGCGATCAGCGGTGGTGCTCAGGTTGACGGTATCTCAGAGAAGCTCATCCCGCACAAGACCTTCACGGGCGATCGCCCGTCCCTGTCGGGGCAGTCTGGATATGATGTCGTTTTTGGACGGGGGGGGACGGGGGAAGGGCATGAGATTTCCAAAGCATGAAGCACATGGGATATCGGATATCAAATAATATCAACCATCAGATGGTTGAGATTTAGGCGACAAAACAATACTTCTTTTGTCTATTATCGTTGCAATATAGCACAGACTTGATGGAAGATGGAAAGTCTCCCAGGAATGTATCATAAGGCTGATAGCCATTATAGTCACAACTCGCACACATGGTCTTGTTTCTTGCCTCTCAGATTTTCCATTCTGAATATCTCACATGAAGGAACAGTACCCAAAGGCACCTGCGAACACTCAGCCAAATATGGTCAATACTCTCTGGTAATTTTACATAGCTCTGGAACATGGCCCATAGTTGATTTACATTTTTTGTCAAGGTTGTTTTTGTCGCCATGTTAGTTTACCTATCCGGCTATCCCAAATTTGTTTCTTGCTGGTTATGATTGTTCGTATCCCAATTGTCCTCCATTTTCCGCCATTTTCCAACCGTATTTTCCCAATCTTTTCCAGCAATTACTGGTTCCCAATATTTTTCCCAATATATTTCCAATATATTCCCCATATATTCCCCATATTTTACCAATATTTGCCATTTTCACCCATATTTTCCCAATATGTTCCTCATATTTGCCATGGCTATCCCAACCAGTCCGTGCTGATCAGATCGCAGGTCTCTCTTGTTGCCGGTATGCAATGCCTTCTGGTGAGCTCAGCTTGGGTCGGGCTTCGGCCGGTACGAACCTGGTTTTACCCTCTGGTAAACTAACTTAGCTATGGAAAATCACCATGTTTAATGGGAAAATCAACTATAAATGGTCATTTTCAATAGCTATGTTAGTTTACCAGAGGGTAACATTTTTTCACATGGTTTTACATGTTTCATGTGTTAACATGTTTCGACATGTTTTAACATGTGTTGAGATGATTTTGACATGGCTTGAACATGTTGGCCATATTTGAGAAATATGACCATGAGATACCATCAGTCAATCGCTTGGTAATACCCTCCATCGAGTCTGTTTTGAACAATCCAAATTTGCTGGTTTTCCCGCACTTGTTGGCCATCAGGTTATTCATCAAAGAAACACAGAAACTGGATTTTTGTTTCAACTTCAACCATGGTGTCAAACCAAATCTGACGTGAAAAGCAGCTTAGTTGGGCCTAATTTCGAGGGACAAACAGGTCAGTCTTGAACGGTCCAACCCCATGAAATCAGCATATCAATCACATAAATCTATCCCAGACTCGAAAAGGAACATTGGACACATCAGGACACCATACTGTAGGAAACCAACATAGGAAAATCGGACAAACATAGGAAACCAGTATCTATTATATTATAGTTATTACTATTATTATTATTTATTATTTATTATTATTATCATTATCATTATTATTATCATGATTGTGTTATATATATATATATTATTATCCCTTAAACATCCTTAAAATCACATCAACAAGAAACCTTATATCTTGATATATATTTAAAAAAAACCGACGAGGCCAGCCCCCTGATGAGGCTTGGTCAGCTGCTGGCCATGTATGAGCACCGAACCGCCACCATCGGCCCGGGATCCCGGGGATCTGCAGGATCCCGGTTTTGTTTCATTTCTTCGGGAGTTTTCGAATCCAACTGGATGACAAAGGATGGATATTTCAGTACAATATATAAGATATATGATAACATTAATGTTGGGTTAATAGTGGTTCTATAATAGTGCACATGGTTAATAACGATTAATCATGGTTAATAGTGGATAATAAGTGTTAATGGTTGGATACCATCTGGTAATTTGTTACGTGTTGCTATTCAACATGGCCCAGTCGAAATAGTGGATTTATCCATTAATAGCATGGTGAATGTAAACGTTGACCAGAGGGTAAATCCATGACTTCATCAATAATTTTCACCATAGAATCGGCCATAACTTTAGGGTATGGGGTTTCGCCTTGGATTTTGCCTTAAACCAATATTCTCATGCATGAACTTTGGGGACGGTTGCTGGATGATTTGGTGACCATAAGCTTAGCCACCAAAAACGAGGCAGAAACCACTGAGATACGGTTCCGGGAGATCACTGGAGTGTCAGCCATTGTAAGCCTAAAGAGATCGATCCCTGGCCACAGAAATTCGCCGATCCCTGGAATAAGTGGTGAAATTTTCACCAGAGGATACCAAAAAAAGATCCATAGATCAGGATATCATAGGCACAAGGTGTATGTCAGTTCAACACGGGATATCTTGGGCATTCTTGGGCCGCTGGTCAACGGGTGAGAAAAAAAGACTCAGGCTGGCTTTTGAATGTGAATTCCTTCGATCAGTTTGGGTTTCTCAGAAATCGAAGCGGCTTGAGGAGCTGGCTCTGGGTTTTTGAAGCTTGGTGGTGAGACAATACCTAGACTCTTAAAACTTATAACTGATTTATAGCCATACAGGAACCCTTTTACAACAGATTTTGGTACTTGACCTGTTTGTACCGGTAGTTTGGGACTGCAGGTAGAAAGAACAGACTGTAGGTAGAAAGAACATGTTTTTCGGAACCAGACATGTCCAACCCAAGGTGTAGGGTTTCTGAGTAAGACCCGTGTGACAAACAAAGACTAGAGTTGCATAGTGGCTTTCGGTAAATGATTTGCTGCAAAGTAGTAATAGTGAACTAGTGCGGAGGAGATGAAATCGAGATACAGCCGCATTACATATGCATTATCTTATTTCTATTGAACTAGTAATGAATTTGTTGTTTGTTGCTAAAGCTTCTTCGAAGATTTGCTTTACCAGTCTTGGATGGTGACTGTTGTATCAATGCACGTGCCAGTAGCTTACAAGCGCCTTACGATTTGTTACAGGGACTTTGAGGTTTTGAGTAGATGTGAGACTGCTCAAAGCCGGCAAGATGATATTTCTCCCAGGAAGCATCACCACTTGGCTGTGCATCCCAAGCAAGTGGTGCCGAACCATGCTAATGATACGGCTTATAACTTATAACATCACTCATATACACACCTCTAATCATGCGTATGATATCTCTTATTTATTATACGGTAATTTATATGGTATATACAGAGTTTTGTTATCCAACACATGTTTTAAAGCTTAATCCACTTACTAACCGCGTGTTGCATATCCCAAGCTTCAGCGCTTCACATCAGGTGGGGTGTGGAACTGGGTAAGGTCCTGGCAAAGGAGGCAGCGATATGGTGGGTCCCATGGCGGGGGGTTGACATGGTGGGTCGAAATGGAATGTACCCTCTGGTTATGACTAACATAGCCATGGAAAATGGTCCATTTATAGATGATTTTCCCCTAGAAACCTCCATTTATGAGGGATATTGTGTGAATTTCCAGTCGTGCTAAAAGACAATGGGACTGGAATGGTTTTCGAGGAGGTACCATCGAAAATCACCATTTTTAATAGGTAAACCATCTATAAATGGGCCATTTTCCATGGCTATGTTGGTCATAACCAGAAGGTATATCTAATTTGGGATGATCCACATCAATATGCTGTAAATAACAATAACTGATTGGTGGTTTGGAACATGAATGGATTATTTTTCCATCTATTGGGAATAATCATCCCAACTGACTAATATTTTTCAGAGGGGGTGAAACCACCAACCAGAAAATAAGAAGAAACATTGTTCATAATTTAATACTGATAATAAACGTAACAATCATGATATTGATATCAATTGACAGTTTAACAAATAAGATAATCACAGTGACATATGTTTGAAAACCAGTTTTAACATAAACGGATGTTTAATATTCAGACTAGTGTCTGTGCTCATATTTATTAGCCTGATTGGTCTTTCACCCCCCAACATTACAGATCCTACTACTTAATGTTGTTCACAGGGTTGAAACAATCAAGATAGATGATGGTCAATGTGGTCAATGTGCCAGGGTGCCATGACAATATCCCAGGTGTGTCAACGCACGCCATCATTGGTGCAGACTTCTCTTGAAGTCATCCCTGTGGAATCTCTGCTCTTCCTTCGCAGACAAACAACCTCTGATGGTTGGTTTACCATGTCAAAAGGATCATTTGCAAGAAGCCTATGTTTTGATGGGAAGAAGCCATTTAAACACATGTCAAAAGCATATATTTTCTATAGATGTTCCACTGAATAGATAATCATTATCTATCCCACATCCTCCATGTATTCCGGCACCGTTCGTGGCACATGGGTATGGTGAAAACACGATGAAATTCACCTGGCAAAAACCTAAAAATGTTTTTTTCCCAGAAAATGTCAACGTCCCTTGAACTGATCGGTGGTTTTGGCATGTCTTTGGCATGGTGAACTGGCCCAAATTGGCTCTTCAGGTGCGAGGCTATTTGAGCCAGGCGAGGAAAGGCTCTGCAGATGACTCCAAGTTGGGATGCCCGCGGGGGGGGCAGGATGGGGTGGGAGCACCCCAATTTGAGAGCAAATATGAATAGATAGTTAATATATAATTATATCATCTACTGTATCCATCCATCCATCCATCTATCCATCCATCCATCTATCTATCTATCTACCCATCTATCCATCTATCCATCCATCAATCCTATCTATCTATCCATCCATCTATCCATCTATCCATCTATCCATCTACCCACCTATCCATCTACCCATCTATCCATCTATCCATCTATCCATCTATCCATCTATCTATCTATCTATCTATCCATCTATCCATCTCTCCATCTATCTATCCATCCATCCATCCATCCATCCATCCATCCATCTATCTATCTATCTATCTATATCTATATCTATATCTCTATATCTATCTCTATCTCTACGTATATCTATATCTACCTTATATTATTTTATCTTATGTGTGTTTCTTATTGTATCTTAGCTTGCCTGATCTTATCTGAGCTTATCTGATCCGATCTTTTTTTTAAAAAAAAATGTCTAATCTTATCTATCTCTAATCTTATCCTATCTATCGAAGCTTATCTATCTAATCGGATCTAATCTAATCCTATTCTATCCATCTATCTATCTATAGCTGCTTCTCTAATATGGGAATTTGGAGGGTGACACACTTGAATGAGTTAAGCAGGGATTATGACCCCAGAGTTGACATTATGATTAGTGTATATTAATGTGAAATAACAAGCACGCGGAAAGGGGTGCTTGATCTTTAAAGATCCGTCTCCCTTGAACGAACTTCAAATTCTCTCGCGACAATGGCGATTGGACAGTTATCATTTTCATCAACCAATGGATTTTTTTCCGGAAAAAAATCAGATCAGGAGCTGAAGTCTCCTGCGCATGGAGGACTTGCAGGTCGCTCGGGAAGCAACTGCCCTTTCTGGGCCCCTGGGCCCGATGCCATGGTGAGAAATGTGAAAACACTACCGGACCAAGCGAGCAGTTCGAGACGCCATTACATGGAGGAGCAAAATTTCTTCATGTTCTGCTGATTTCTACATTGCTGGTGTTGATTTCACACTGGGATCCAATGGCGCGCCACTGGGCAAGTTCTTCGCGGTGAACTCGCCGACCCCATCCCATCGGCGCCAAGTCGTGAGCACGACCTGCGTGGCTTCGGCGCAAGAAATGGTGGCAGTCATATTCTGAGAGCCTTGAAGCTGTGAAGCGAAACTGGCAACAATTCTGTTCGATCGCAATTTTCAGCTGAGAAGCTTGAGAAGTTGGGTCGACGGGTCCTTGATGGAGTGAAGACTCTTGACTCTTGGTCCTGAGCACGAAGAGACGGACTATTTGGCCATGGTTGCCATCACACTTCTTAACACGGACAATAACAGCAGCTATGCTAAAGCTGTGGAGTTGTATCGCCAGGTGCCGTGAAAGCAGTCAGTGAAGCAATGCTTTTGAGGCCATATACAGACTGAGCACTGGAAAAAGACACTCAAGGTGCTGCTCAAAGGCATGCTTCCCAACGATATCTAACGATGTTTTCCCGTTTTCACCAATCCCAAAAGAAAATGCAGATGTTTTTTGCCGTTGCGTATCCCAGGATTGACTCCAGACTCCAAAAATTGTGAGCCCTCAACGCGGGGGGTTGAGGTTCTTGCCGCCAACCAAGAAGCTCTTGGCCAAATATCTGGCGTGAAAGGCCTTGCAACTGAATCCAGGTACAGAGAGATGGGATATGGCCCTAGTGACTATCCATTTGTATGTTTTTTTAAAAATCATCGCAGCATCACGGGGTTCCTTGTTGTTTTGGTTGTTTTGTTGCTTTGTATGTTGAGTGATGGTGAGTGATTCAATATCATCTTCTGGATAGTTTCTATAGCAGTTAAATCATGAACAATCCTCACAATAGAGGTGGTGTTTTTGAACAATGGCTAATTCATTTCCTAGCTGATGCAGTTTGAAGCCACTCATGACCTTTCCAATCGGGGCTATTTTCCCAAAGGGAGATTTTGCCGTGCCCGCATCAATGAGGACCATTGTTTGTTTGCAATTTATATCAATTTATCAACTTTTATCATTTAGGGGGTGACCCCTCTAGTTGTTCAGCCAGGGTTTGTGACTGGCTTGCCATTGCCCACAGCCATCTGACATGTGCAAAGTGGTGCAAAAAAAATGGGGGGATAGGGGGCAGGTAAGCTTCTTTGCTATGACTGTGACAGCGTGACTGTTTGACTGTTATGTTTGTTGTTTTGACAGAAACCAGCATGTCAATGTTTAAATTAAATGATTGCATATGTCCAAAGTTGATACAAGATGTAAAGAAATCGTGCACTAGTTGCACCATGTCAAGATTTGGACCTCCTAATCCATTTACATTCTCTTCCTTCACTTTGCAAAACTACCGTGTTTTGGAGGTGCCCGATTTTCGCAAAAGTGGTTCAAAGGAAAATTATGTGCAGGAACCCCCCATGCATACAATTGACGCAAAAAAACATATTGTATATAGTCTAGTGAATTCAATAATTCATTAATACATATATTTATATACGCATATATATATATGTATATACAATATATTATATATATACACAATATATACACAATATATACACAATATATACACAATATATACACAATATATACACAATATATACACAATATATACACAATATATACACAATATATATACACAATATATACACAATATATACACAGTGTTTCTAATTCAAACCATGTTCTCCTGACCCAGATGTTTCAAGTCATGTTTTATGCGACCGTGACCTTTCCATGGCATCTTCGCTTCCAGGGATGGCATCGTCGATGAACGAGGAACCGCTCGTGAGTCCGGTGCATCGCGCAGCTTCAAAAACATCAGGGGTCGAATATGTGGTATGATTTACTGTACAAACATGATTTACAACGGCTTACATACATGTATATACATGATAATATATATATAACATATATATATATATATGTATATATATGTGTACGTAGGAACCTACCTTTTTCCAAAGTTCACAATTCTGTATGCTACCACTGTCAATCGAGTTGTGTTCCTATACCATGTTTCTTTGTGCTTGTAGATCCAAATCACATCTTTGTATATCTTTGTGCGTTGTTGGTATCAAGCCGTCCTGGCATTGCCAGGGTGCACGTGCGCAACGATGCAGCAATCTCTTGAGCTTCATGCGAAATGGAGCTGTAGCATCAGAAGGTTGTGACCCGTGCGTTCTTTAAATTTGACAGAAAAGAAGACTGCGGCAGTTTGGTGCTTCAAACCTAGTCCCAGTCGATATGTACTATATATGTATATTACATCAATTATATGAATACCGTATTTATATTATAATATATATATATTATATTTGTACATATTAAAGATATTATACATATATATATATGATATAAACTATCTATCAATATGTATATTATATATATATATACATATAATTAAAATAACATATATATGTATATATTAAACATAACACACACATATATAATATATAAATCTATATACATATTATACACACATAACCCCTAAATGAGATAAACATGAGCAGATCCAATACTAAACCAGGGCCTTTGTTTTGAAAAAAATATTCGGACATATGGACCCAGTGCACACTTTGGGATTCAGGACACCAGATCTCAAAAGTGGTGATTTTCTCCGCTACCCAAAGGTGGCAATTGAAAATCCTATGACAATTGCCGCTTATCTATAAACTATTGGGTAACTTATCGTTTCAAAGGTTTTAATGGGACACTTCGGAAACTGATCCTAAAAGAATTGGGAATGGTCAATTGCCATGTTTGAGTATCGGAGGGTTTTTTTCATCCCACATTTGGGGGTTCCCGGATTGGAAGGCAACTGTTGGCATTTCTGAATGGTAAGCCCGGCCGGTGAATGAACTAGTCGCTTTCTTGATCCAGGGTTAACATTCGTCATCTTTATCGTAGAAAATCACGTCGTATCCCCTCCGGTATTCCAACATGACAATGGAACATGCCCCATTTATAGTTGATTCTCCCCCCAAAGCCTCCATTTATAAGGGATTACAGTCCATTTTCTGTGGGTCTGGCGATCACAATGATGGATGACAAACATCCAAAAACCCAAGCAGTTTGTCGAGATCCATGGACCAAAAAAATAATCTTACTGATAATTCTTGGTACTAAAATCTGGCAATGCCCAAAAAAACACCACTTAAACATATACTGCATCTTTTCCCTTGGAACAGTGGAGCTTTTGTACAGTAGCCAGCATGGATTACGGACAGGAATCGTTGGTGCATGGCTTTGCTGGCTCATGCTGGCTCAGCTCTACAGGAATGTCATGTCAGGACCGAAAGATGCGCTGTCCGAACCTGTGAACAATGAGACGTTTTCATATATAAAACACGTATAAACACGTGATGATTTAACCAAAACTGGGATATAATGATGTTGATATAACTGGGTAAATTATAACGACCTCACTGCGACCTCACTGCGACCTCACTGGAATCATGGCTAATAAGGGAAATCATTCCGAAATGGCCTTAATTCAGGTTAGTGAAATATTATAATTTACCCAGATATAGCAATTGATAATCTGGTTGGTTCCACGTATTGTTCATCTTTAACCATAGTGATCCCACTGAGCCGAATGTTCCGGGGGTGGTTGAACCACCAGCCAGAGAAATTTCAGAAACACACAGGGAACCAATTTTCTCAAAAGGTTATAGATCATATCGGAGCCTGTGTAGACTATGAATGTCGATCACAATTCAAAGTGATATTCTAACCAAGCTCACGCCTCTTAACACTGTACACAGTTCAGTATTACTGGCAAAAGTTAAGTATAAGCTGAGTATATTGTTAAATTGTTGAATCACAATATACATGTCTAACAAAGTATAACGCTATATAATGTGACTCAAAGATGCAGTAACCCAACCACTAAACCACTACAAACAACTATGTATATATATGATATAGATAGATAGATAGATAGATAGATAGATAGATAGATAGATAGATAACTGTATACAACTAGAATTATACATACACAATATTTATAACTATATTATGTATAGAATAAACCAGTTTGATAGTTTTTATATCCCAACAAAAAGATATCCATGTGACCCACGCCGATCCCATGGCCTTCGCCCCTCGTCCACGAACGCCCACCCCGGCGAAAGCCGCGAACCCCGCGAGCGGTAACGGCGGCAACGCGACCATCCAAAGACTGCTGGACATTGTGAACCAACATGGGATTCAACTGGAGCAACTTGGAAGATTGTGGGATACAACTGGGATATAACATGGGATATATTGAGATATGTTTTAGATATTGAGATACAATTAGGAATATGATGCTAATCGACATGGAATTCAACTGGAGCAACTTGATGGTGTCCCTTTTAGATCCATTGAAATTGAACTGCTCATTGACGCCTATCGTGGACCAGGATTTCTGTGTGGGTTCACTGGCAAAAAACAACTTTACATAACATTTTCCATAGAATAGCATATCCCAGAACAAATACTGGTACCATAACTATTGCTTCTGGCAATATACATATATATATATATGTTATATATGTATGTATGTATATATATATGTATATGTATACATGTTATTTATATATGTATAGGAAATGGGAAATAGTTCACCCCTATATGCATCTATATGCAATTTACCATTATACACTTTTATCATGATTCAATCATTTTCCATAGCCATAATGTGCATTGTAATATTTAGTGACATATGTGAGATACCAACATACCAAATTATTGTTCGGGTATGTACTGGGGATAAGATCCCGCGGAGAATAACTGACATTACACAAATAGAATGTTTAAGCCTTCACAACAATACCATGGATGATCAAAGGTTCTTAGATAACAACCCAAGTTGTAGTGACAACACGTATAGCAATCAACAATCGTTAACGATGAATTAGCATTGATTACTAATCATAGATTCAAAGTAAACAATGACATGTTGGTATTCAATACATAAATGTGGTGTCCAACTCACATACATACCTAGGTGTAAGACTTATATACTTATATACACAAAGGATTGTACTGGATTTTAACGGCTAATTTTCAGGGGATATAGAATATCTACCTCCAAAATATGGTCGAACACATGCTAGGGATTAAAATGATTTAAACCAGGATATATTTAGTAATCATAAATGGTTATTTATGATTTATGATTACTATATATTATTATATATATATGGGTAAATTATAACGACCTCGCTGCGACCTCACTGGAATCATGGTTAGTAAGAGGAATCATCCCAAAATTGCCTTATTTCAGGTTAGTGAATTATTACAATTTACCCATATATATATAGTTAACCATAATTTCTCTATTTTTTGTTACTATATGGTTACTCTCTGGTAAACTAACATAACTATGGAAAGGTCCACCATATTTTCAATGGGAAAAATCACTATTTCGACTGGGCCATTTTCAAGTTCGCAAACTGTTAGTTTACCAGAGGGTATCCCATTAATAATCCATTAATAATCCATTAATAATCCATTAATATCCATTAATAATCCATTAATAATCCATTAATCATCCCATTAATATGGAAAAATAAAACGTGTTCCACACCACCAACTGATTAAATCCTCATATTGTTTCATCATTTTTGGTTCAATAACCACCGAGGTCGCTGCGCGAGTCACAGGAGGCCCTACGTCAGGAGACCGAAGCACTGCGTGCCGCGCTGAGTGCACCGGCGAAGGTCCGGGCGGCCACGGCAGGCGGGAAGTGAGCCATGGAAGTGTGGCGGTTTTTGCGGAAGGTTATGGAAAAAAAAAATGTTTTCTATGGAAAAACATGTTTTTTTTGTTTCGGATTTCTGCATTGTTTTTCCGTGGAAAGTCTAGTTGTTGTTTGGAATTGTCAATGTTTTAATGTTTTTGCATTGAAAAAAATGGGTTTGTCTCCAATCCGGGATACCCTAACTATTCAGATGTTATTGGGAACAATGATGATAAACCCATGGGGGTTGGGTGCCCCAGTTAAGTTGGTTTTAACGTAGGTTAACGATTAGATTTATGGTAGAAATATCGAACTATATAGTCTAGTTAATGGGGTGAACTTAAACCAACCAACATAACTGAGGGGGGCACCAGCTTGTTCGGAAGTTTTTTTGAGTTATCCATGAATTTAGCTGGTGATTATCTGGAAATTATTGATGATTTAGAGTAAATTCAAATGTTTAAGAGTATTTACGCTGGTTGCTCTGCTTATTTCAATGGGAATTCCAGGATCCTAAATAATTGGAGCTACGTAAACGTACCATATTTTTGGCCATATTTTCTGGGGAATAGGCCTTATAACTTATATATAAACATAGGCCATTGATTATTGGGGCCACATTTGGATACGACATGCCATGGCTATATGGCCATGCCATGGCAACCATCCCGCAAAATCCACCAGATTTCTGGATATTACTGGTTGGTGGTGGTGACTGGACATGAATGAATGACATGACTTTCCAGAAACAGTTGGGACTTTCATGGATTATAGTGGCTTAGTGGATTTTAATGGATTATGACTTCCATTCATATATTGGGAATGGAATGTCATAATCCCAAGTGACGAACTTCGTCCATCATTTTTCAGAGGGCTAGGTCAACCACCAACCAGATATAACATGAGTTGTATAAACCAGCTGAAAATGGTAAACGGTTTATGGCAGTGAATCCCAGAGTATGGCAGTCTGGATGAACATCGGAATGACCTCACCGTGGGAATTTCCGTGGGAATGATGGGAAGTGGATGAACCATCGGAACCATCACTGAAACATTATAGTGAATTATTATTAATTATAGTGTAGTGAATTATGATAATGAATGATTATAGTACAATCATGAAATTCTGTGATTATCATTATTATTCCATATTGGCCATTCTTTTTCGTGAATTATTAGCCGTGCTAGCGGAGCATATCTCACTGAAACATGCCGTGCTTGACTGGGCTGTTACACCCTTTGGTAAGTCATGTGGCTGTAATGTTCAGTGTGGCACGAGTGAATCCCAAAAATCATGGGCTGGATATGAATTGAGAACTTCCAATGCTGGCCATGTGTGATTAGCTGAGTGATCTGAGTGTATCCCGTGCTGGCCTTGCTGGGACTCTTCAAGGAAAATCCTTTCAACAGATTGTTCAACAGATAGTGCGATTACCCGATTACCTGAATGTATAATCATTCATCATCAGCATCATCATCATCATCATCATCATCATCATCATCGTGACCATCGTGACCATCGTGACCATCATATTTAAGAAAGCATCCGTTTCCTGTAAGATTTGCCAAAGGTGGATCCGTGACATGGATGGGTTGATTTTGCGAACTTGAACATGGCCATAGAAATATAGAAATCGTTGATTTAGCCATGAAACATGGTGATTTTTCAGTTCCTTATGTAAACATTTACCAAAGGGTATAGAATAGGATGTAACCAACTATAGGAAAAGTGATGATAAACCAGTGTTTCATGGTTGAATTGACCAGTGATTATCATTTCAACATATATATATATATTATTATAAATATATATATATATAGTTTCAACATAATCATTGAACTGGGTATGACTAAAATGAGTGCACATGGTGATTTAACCAGTTGAAAGGGGGTTAACCCATGAATAATGGTTACTATAAATTCAACATCATATCATCATGTTCAACATGCCTATCATTTTAACAACGCAATATCTGCTTTATCTTTTGCGTGTCTGAAAATATGGACTGACCCAAAAGGTTAGCATTATGTTTGATAGGGACACTGATGATGAACTTCCCTGACTGGTCCCAAATATGTGTAAATCTCTACGAAACCCATGGCTTTCTGGGTGTTTTTCATGTGAGGAAGGGATTCACCAGAACTTCCCACAGGATGGTATCCCCAGTGATGTTTGTTGGTTTATGTTCACCCCATGAATACTAGTTCGTTATATCTGCACCAACTTATCTAACGAACTGGGGCACCACCTTGCAAAGCCAAAGAGTTATCTATCCAGGCCATGCTGCTCCAATGGACCGAGCATCGGCCACAACGATCACCGAGACACGTCCGCGGCGCATCAGCGTGTGCAGCACTTCCTCTGGAAGTCACGTGGTGATATATCAGGTCTCTTCTACCATCAAATGGGGGGGTTCCATAAATGGAGATACCCCAATAGCTGGATGGTTGATTTCGATGGAAAATCCAAAACTCAAATGGATGATTTTGGGAAACCCCCAGGAAACCTCTAAATAGCCATCAAATCATGTAACTGATGGGTAAGTTGATGTTGATTGATGGTGATGGTGTCATTTTTGAGATACCTTTATCATCCTCGATCATTCCTCTATCATTATTTGGGTGTGCTTGGAGGGTGAATGTAGCTAGACTTTGGTAGAAATATCCAGCTGGAAAGTGTCCATCAACAGTTTGCAACTTTGCCGGCTGGAACATCATTCAATAAATCATGTGTACCGTGCCCAAAATTAATAAACCTAGTTTATCATAAATAGGGTTCTGTTTTCAAGGAATTGCTATGACCCATCATGGGAACCCTATACTTCAGCTAGTAGCAACCATTGAGATCACAGCAACCCCGTGGTGAAGTTGGTTGTGTCACCGTAAGCTAGTTCGATATGTAATCCCATCCTTGGCCCCGTGCAATCAACCAAATCATTTTTGGGTCTCCTTCCTGTTGGTTTCATCAACATAGATATGAACCCCCGCTGATCCATTTTATATACTGTATAATATATACATATATGAGCTCTTGCAGAGGGTGGTGCCCTTATCTATACGTTGGTTTTCGATCGCCATGAACCCACTTGAATTAGGCAAATAGACCAACTTAGCTATGGGGTCAGTCAGACCTTGTATACATCCCCATTTTATTCCCATTAAATTCCAGTATGCACCCATTTTAGGTGGTTGAGATAAAACCATTCACAACTATAAAGCACATGTTTGATGGTTGAATCCCTAGTTTTGATTTGATCCACATTTTTGATGGTGAAATTATTATGTTTGATGGTGAAATCATTTAGGTTAAATCCAGATTTTCGATGGTGAAATCGTTTTTTAATGGTCTTATCCCAATTTTTGATGGTTAACTCAGATAACTCATTAAATCATTAGGTTTGATGTGGACCTAGGCGAAGCCGGAGCTGCAAGCACCTGCAGCCGCAGATCCGGCGGCACCAGCGGCGCCTCCAGCGCTAAGGTAAAGACCAGAACGGTGGCCTGGCAACGAAATCCACTCAGAGACTGGGTACCTGGGAGGCCAGGGATCAGATGTATTTGAAAGAAGATAGGATGGGAATAAAACCGTCATTGGTTTCTGTAACAGATCAGCAAAGTCCTGCAGTCTCGCGCGGTCATTTTTAAGAGGAAAAGGATGCCTTTTGATGAATAGGTCCCGTTTCTTGCGCTTCAGGACATGCGCCGAGGTAACAAAAAAGATCGAATTGAATCGAATTGTTGTTCAGGGATGTTCTAGATTCTATATATATATATACATATATATATATATATATGTACATGATGTTTACCTCATGATTTCATACAAGGTGGAGCCACATACTTACCTTATGTTAATGTTGGTCTATTGCCCGTCTATTTTATATAATCACAAAATATAGGGAAATTATAGGCAAACAAACCAACCTACCTAATGGAGCAAGACCTTGTATAGATCCTCGTTATATATATATATTTATTTATTTAATTACATATTATTCCCAATATAGTACATCCATTTTTGTTGGTGAATGGTTTCCACCGGTTTCCCGAGGACCCCATGCGAAGCAGAGACGCCCCTGCCGTCACCCGTTCTGCGCAGCGTTCGTCCTCGGCGCCCACCACGCCTCGCGGCGCCTCGGCTCCTCGCGCCGTGGCACCGCGGGCGGCGACGCCGCGACGCTCCGCCAGTGGGGAAGCGGCGCAGCGGAGTGCCACGCCGCGGCGGTCGCGGGCGAAACTCTTTGAAGTGGCGCAGCCGTTGTTGCAGCCGGGCATTCCAAAGGAGAAACTTGGCACCCTGGAGAAATCTGATATATCATGATATATCTGATTCTAAGGATGTTATAATTTTCATACTCCTGGTTTCTCGCATGAAAATAGTTTGTAAACCCTAGTGCTCCAAGACAGACTGAGAAGGTGTTTGGAGCCCAAAAATAACCACCGAATACGGTCTCACAAGTAATTAAATGTGCCATCATTATTTGATCATATTGTATCATATATATATATATATGGGTATGGGTCAATACCTATAGATACATTTTTAGTGGGATGAACATCCATTTACCAGCTATTTTGGGGTTCACTAGGTACCAGGGTTTTGACCCATCCCCATATCATCTTCAGTTTCTCTTTAAAAAGATACAAGTCGCAGTCTCCCAACGAACATTTTCGACCCAGGAAGCGTGTAATCGCCCTCAGTGCCTTCGCGCGGTGTCTGAAAGAGGGCGCATCGCCCTCTCACTGGGATGGCCCGCAGTGTCTTGACCTGGGATCAGCTGGATCAGCTGGATTTTTGCCACGAAAACCTACTTGTGGTAAACATTGATCCCATTGGTAAACATTGGTAAACATTGCTAAACATTGGTAACACATTGGTAAACATACTTTTGGTAAACATGAAATTCTTTTGGTAAACATGAAATATCATGAAATACTTTAGTAGACATGAAATTTACTTTTGGTAAACAACTGGAAAACATTGACAACTGTTGGATATACATATCTATGCATATCTATGCCCTGAAGGGTCTTGGTTTCTCTTGGTTTTAGACAGTGGCACTTTTGGGATTTCACCGTCTCTGTTCGCGTCTTTATTTACACCTACGGTGTAAGACGTGATCCAGAAATCTCCATATGTCACCTCATTTTTAAACAATATCGTAATTTCCAGGTATCAGTTAATCATTTATAATTATTGACATATGATCATATATACCAAACACCTTCTGACAGCGTATTTGGGGGTTGTTTGTGGGCTCCAAAGACCTCAGTAACTATATCTATATTAGATTCTAGTAGTATCCTCCAGAGTTGGAAAAGCCGGATAGAGAAGATCTCTGATGGTTTGATTTCGAGACCTGCGAAATGTGCTGTTCATTACCCTCTGGTAATGACTGTTACATAGCTATTGAAAATGGTGATTTATAGTGGATTTACCCACTGAAAATGGTGATTTTCCATAGTTATGTTAGTTTACCATAGGGTATCTCCCCAGATCATGGAAGTGTCACCCCAGTTGGCTACAGTGGAACCGTTAGATAGGAACCGATGAAGAATTTTCCAGCCTACCCTGTACTACCCTGGGGTTCTTAAGTGCTATAGGTGGAAAACATGGGAATTATGAGCGAGGGTTCTTAAACAGTGGTTTCACTGTACCCTTATGTTCTCCTCAATAGCTTATTCTAATGATTTTTAAACTTGAAAAAAACAAAAAAGGAAAACAAATGAAACATCAAAAAGCAAAACTTTTCCAAAGTGAAAAAAAACAGGAAGCAAAATGGGGAAAAAGTCAAAAAGTGGAGAAACAAATGGGGAAAACAAAAAGATTCATCTCCTGGCGCCAGGAGTCCGCTACGTAGCGCCGTGCAGGCGCAGGACAGCGACATGGCACGGCTGTTGCTCCAGGCCCGGGCCGATCCCAACGACCGCGATGCCAAGGGCGTCTGCGTGCCTTGGAGGGGATCGATTTCTCCAGGATTTCTCCATGGCTCCAATCTTTCAACAAGTTTTGCCAATGAAATGTGTATAAACTCTGTGTAATTTGTGGAATAATGTATATAGAGTAATTATTTTTCTATTATTACTATCATCGTTATCAATTAATATTGATATTATTACATGCATGTTTTTTTTCCTTAGCATTTTGTGGAATACATGTCCCATATAACGTTGTGTGGCACGCATGACATCGTCACCATTACCGTCGCCGAGGTTCTCCACAGCGCTTCCTTTGACGGCCTCGGCGACTTGTGCCAGTCGCTGCTGCAGCCTGGCTTCATGGAAGTCCCGCAATAGCTGGATGACTCAAAGAAGGGATGATTATATACCCAGAGGATCCATGTATGGAATATTTACCTACATTGACCCCTAAAGTAATTTAAAATAGTCCCAATGTAGGTAAATATTCCATACATGGATCCTTAGGGATAGATTTAATTATGGGAAAATCGCATTAAAATGGATGATTTAGGGGGTCCTCCTGTTTTAGGAAACCTCCATATATAATATATGGGCCTATTGTATTTGGATATATATATATATATATAACGTTTCTAACCAAGGATCTTAAGATTTCAGAGCTATCACTGGGAGAACTATATGACAATACAAGGTTTGGGTGTGTCTGAAATGGGGTAATTATACCGCAAATAAACACCATGAAATGGGACAATTGATGATGATTTCAGTGGGACTAAGGGGTAGCCGATTTTTCGACAAACCCGGTTATTCACTGCACTGGGGGAAACATCATGATGAGATCATTGGGAGATTTGCGGGAAGCAAATGCTGAATAGTTGAGATAGTTATTCCATTTGGAGAAACCAATTGATGTTTTTCTTTTGTCTTCGTCAAACTCGGGTTGTCCTTCGCTATTCTTGTTGAACTTCAGCGCTATTCTGAGCAGCGGAGGAAAGCCAGAGCAGATGCCAACGCGGCTGATCAACACGGTCAGACCGCTTTCTTCTTTGCGTCTGAGGACTCAGCGTGATCCCTGGATGCTAAGAGTCATGGTCGAAACAAAGTACCACCCCCTTTTCGAATCGAACACGCAAAGGAAACACACAGAAACACCAGAAACCAACAATTTGGGGAAACAAAAAACACAAGACTCCTGTAGGACCCTAAGTTGAACCAAGGTCTGTCACATTTGTGTGTGTGCGCGGAACAGTTGTTTTGGTGGTAAACTCAGGGTATCCCAACATTTGATGGTTGATCACAATGGTTTGATTGTATAAGTTTGCCGTAAAATAGGGTGTCCACCATTTTTGGGCAAACCGGAATGATGAGTGCTTTATAGTCTCTATTCACTCGAGTACAGATCCTGCAAGCAAATGGTTAGTCAATGATGACAAATAAGATAAGATATGTATTGAAATATGTCAGTGTCCCAAAATCTGATTTCGGTACTGATTATAGCTGGTGCCAACCAGTTTGCTGGCGAAGCATCAACATGCAAAGCCAAATACTGTAAATGAAGTAAACATATGTTGATTGAACTAGAAGATGAGCCATGTTTTTTTTAGTGGATGTGGCTGGAGCGGCCTTATACCCCTTCTCTTCAGATAGCTGAGAGTTGCTGAGAGGAATTTGCGCATGACCCACAACGTCCCACAACCAAGGTTTTTTCCCCTAGTTATGTTTCTGGGCTTACAGTCCCGATGATGGCAGTTATATATAATTACTGTATATATATATAGAGTTATATATGTTTACCAAGTTAGTTAAGGAACTGGGGCAAGAACCTCGTTAAACAAAAAAAACATGTAAACATACATCAACACTACGTAAGTTGTTAATAATAATATATACTTATCGTGTACCCATGTCTTCATTGGTTAATGGTTGCTTCACTGACTTGAATTCATTTCCAACTCGGAGGATTCTAGTCTGATTTCCAACCTAGAAGATTCCAATCTGTTCATTAGATACCCTCTGGTAAACTAGGTAAAAAGGGAACATCACCATGTTTAATGGCTAAAACCACTATTTCTATGGCCATTTTCAATAGCTACGTTAGTTTACCAGAGGGTATCCCCATAGCCTACTCTGGTAAACTAACATAACTATGGAAAATCACCATTTTCAACGGGTACTGTATTTTTTAAACTATGTATTTTTACCCATTAAAATATATTTTACAGAGGGTATTTTTAGCCACAAAATTGTCAACGTGTTCCTTAAGACACCCCCTTTGGGCACCCCGGCGGCCAGGCCCAGCAGCAAGGTCTGCGACGTGCTCCTGGAGGGCAAGGCCTCAAAGATTCACATAGGGATTGAGTTTAAACTTTAAACCCAACTTGGTGAACATGAGAGTATGATTCATTATAGAACATGATATCATGATATCAATATGATGTAAAACTAGATTCATATAGCATGTAGAGTATGATTCGTGAGTTATTTGGCGAGGTATAACTTACAAGCAACAATCATGGAGAACAAATGGATATTCAACGTGCTAACCCGTATGACCATTGGATATGTCTGAATGAACTATAAGGACCTCACGTCGCGACGTCACTGGAATTATGTTTGTTTGTTTTTTTTTAATACATATCATATGAGGTGTAATCAATTATTATCATATATCAAGATCATATAAGGTGTTATTAATTATCTGCGAATAACTTTATTTCAGGTCAGCAAATTACTATCAGCGATTAACTGATAAAGATCTCGAGAGAATCCACTATGAATCACGTATATAAGCGTCTGCAAGCACTTTTTTGTTTGTAAGATAGTAAATTGCAGGTATTTGGCTCAGATCCTTAAAAGAAAAATAGACATTGAACTTCGGATATGAACTATCAAAGCACTAGGGTAAGCAGCAATCAAGGGGAAACACCCTAATATAGTAAGAACGCAGCAGAAATCGTGGATGGTCGTTGAAATACTGTCATTTGTAGGGTATCTACAGAATAGCCACGGAGTTTGGTTGCGAATCCCGGATCTGTTCCCCACGACAACTGCTATTTTTCCTCGAGAAACATGAGATGTTACCGTACCCTCTGGTAAACGTTTACATAACGAACTGGAAAGATCCACCATTTTTAATGGGAAAATCAACTATTTCTATGGCCATTTTCAATGGCTATGTTAGTTTACCAGAGGGTACCCATACCAATCATGTTGTTCCTGAATTTGTCTGGCACTTTTAAGCCCATTTTGCAGGTACTTTTTTCTTGTACACACTGAGTGTTTGGGCACATGAATCATACAATCTTAAGTATATAAGAGATAAATCAATAGGATTGAATAGGATTCAATAGGTACATTTTCATCATTCTCACGTTTTTTCTCACGCTTTTCGTACGTTTTTCGCCCATCTATGCTGGATAATGCCCCACCAATATGCGTCATGCCACGTCCGTCCAGCCACAGCACACGGCACGAACGTAGGCGGATGTGAATGCGGTGAATCAAAAGGGACAGTCCGGGGACCCGCAGATGGAAGGATGTGACCAAATATATATATATATATACCCTATGGATCCAAGTACCTTCTTAGGAAGTGTTTGGGGTATGATTTGGGGGGTTAAGTACCTTTTTAGACAGTGTATATCTGTCTATAATATATACCCTTTGGTTATGACTAACATAGCCATGGTATAGATGGCCCATAGAAATAGACCATAGAAATAGATGGTTTACCTCTTAAAAATGGTGATTTTCCATGGCTATGTTAGTCATAACCAGATGGTATATATATATAATTATATATATATACATATATATAGTTATATATATATATACCTATAATCCCAACTGACGAACTCATATTTTTCAGAGGGGTAGGTATACCACCAACCAGATATATATCATGATATCTCATATCTAAGATATCTAACACAAATCTATAGAAATCAAAAAACGAGTTTGTGAAACAACATGACATGTCTTGTTTATGTTTTTTTGGCATCGATCATCGTGAAGATGTTTCCAACGAGGAATCATGGACCCATGATTGTGGCTTCTCAGTTCCTACAAGGTGCCCCAGTTCGTTAGCTAAGTTGCTTCTAGTTTGACTAAAGTTTGACTAAGATTTTTATGGATATCGTAGATACATCGAACTAGTTAATGAGGTGAATTATACATCAAATTGATTATACATCAACTATCATCAACTTTGAATTTCCATGGTTTTCTTGGTCAAATCACCATTTTTGGATGTGATTTATTTCTCACCCATTTCCCAACCTGGGCTTACCACGTTCCAGGTCGGCCTTGCACTTGGCTTCCCGCGCCGGGCTGTCAGAGGTGAGAGCGCAAAGCCTGGTTTTTGCCGCGAAAAGTTAAACCATATGCATCATGAATTTTTAATTTCATCTACTGCACATATATATATATAACTATTATATATATATATATACATACTGTATGTGTACATATATAGTATTATATATATATATGTGTGTGTCATACATTTTGGAGAGATGATGGTAACCATTCCATACATGGAGCACCTTGGTAAGGTCTGCAAATTAGATTGTCCCTTCATCCCATTCTGGGATTCTGAATTCTAGTCAGTTCTTTATAGGAGTCTGAATCAGGGTAGTGATATATGCAAGACTTTAGGAGCATCAAGAAGAACCGCGATGTAAGAAGTGAGAACTAGAATTTTGCAATCGAAGTCTCGAAAGCAGGTACCCCCAAATCATCCATTTTAATAGGATTTTCCAGCATAAACCATCCAGCTATTGGGGTACCCCCATTTACAAACTATAATATATACAGTAGGATCAGTAGGTTTTCCCAGCAACGGATTGATCATCACAATTCTTGGAGTCCACGTAAAAAGGGTTTCCTCAAACTTGGCCGTGAAGTTTGATGAATCATGAGGTCTCCAGCAAAAAAATCATACCTAGCATTCGCAAATCGAATCAGCCAAGCCGGGTTGGCCCTTGGTAATATGGCTGGACAAACGTGAAAATCGTCCATTTATGAAGATCATGAATTCCTTCTCAACAGTACATGGTGTATAAACATGTTTCATGGTTACGTGTTGTCAGTACAAAATGGTGACATTCAACTTCTAAAATGAAGAGATTTTCAGGGAACCCTCTGGTAAACGGGCTAACATAACTATGGAAAGATCCGCCATTTTTGATGGGTAAATCAACTATTTCTATAGCCATTTTCAATAGTTATGTTAGAACATCACCATTTTTTATGGGTAAATCAACTATTTCTATTGCCATTTTCAATAGCTTTTTGTATGTTTACCAGAGGGTAAGTTCAACCGGTCGAAGGTCGTCTCGATCAGGTTCTCCACTGGATGGCACCACGCGTGAGTCATGAGGTCATGGAGCTGTTCCCTGGCTTCGATTCTCTCAGTTCTTGGCAAATGGTGAGGAAAAACCCATGACGGATCCATGGTGCTGGTATATATGCTAACATTGGGGGTAATATTGATGGTAAATGTTACCATGTATACCATACATGGATCCTATGGGAAAGAAAAAAAACGTAAAAAAAACATGAAGAAATTGGGATTTAGCCAGCAAAGAATGAGATTTCACCAGCAAAAACATGGGATATTATTTTTCAGCAAAAAAGTAGGAATTCATTAAGAAAGATGATGATTTAACCAGCAAACATTGGCATTTCACCAAGAAAGATGGGGGGATTAATACTTGATTTGTCTTAGCTAAGTTGGTACACTCCAATTTCACGAATGGCTTGAAATGATACCTAGTTGTATTATATCGAACTAGTTCATGAGCAGTATTTCAAACAACAATCATGGCGTTTGGTACCACCTTTCAGGAACTTCAGAGGTTAAAATCGAGGTCAACGGCTTAACATTCTCTGATGGAAGCAGTGCCTGATTTTTCCCCTGGCTTCTGAAAAGAGATGCCCATCTTCTGGAAACTTTCCTAGTCCTCCACAAGGTGGTACCCCATAGGCGGCTTTGAGATTTTGTAGGTGCAAAGATTGTATGGTAGACATATCATGACGTACCCTCTGGTAAACTAACATAACTATGGAAAATCACCATATTTAATGGGAAAAACCACTATAAATGGTCATTTTCAATAGCTATGTTAATTTACTAGAGGGTATCTAGAATCATCGCCAAGCAACTGGATTGGTAGTTCTATCATTTAGTTTTCTGCTATGGAAAATAACCATAGCCAGCAAAAGATGACTTTTTTTTGTGGACTACCAAAGATTGACCATGCTTATATAGATAGATTTACATAGCTAAGTTGGTTTATACCTCCAATAATGTGTTTGATACTTATAACATCTTTGAACTGTAAAGTTAATGGGGTTTATAAACCCAGGCGCGACGTCCATGGTGCCACCGCCGCCTACTACGCGCGCCATGCCGGCATCGGCTATGACTTCCTGAGGCTGGAGCAGCACGGGGTGGACGAATTGATGGGGAACTGGTGGATTTGTTAATTGGTTTATGAACCATCATAGGCCATGGGGTTAGGGAAACGAACCACAGGGATCCATAGGGGCCATAGGGGTAGGAAAAACATAGGGATTTGTAAGGGTTATTCAGCATCATGGTCAACATTTTGGGATGTAAATCACTAGATGTGTGACCCTTTTTGTTTAAAACCTACATTCGCCATTGAAACGGATGGCCATACATTGAGCCCATCAGTTTCAGCGGGGGAGAACTGAGGAAGTGACAACAGCATGGGTTGTGAACCTGTTTATAAATTTATAACATTTTATAACTATTTATGAGCCATGCAATTAGTAAACAGAAATTGAATATGTTCGGCGGTAACCAGCAAAGGTATACAAACGTGGAACAAACAATCAGAATATGGTCGGCTATTGATGCTGACCAACACCGGAAACATCCATAGGAACTAGGATACTGTGGATCCTGATAGCCATTGCAAGGCATTCTAAGAGAAGTGCAAATGGCAATGGCCCAAATAGGTATTATTGTCAATAGGCAATGCTTAGTTGAACCACCTTGTATAATGCAATTAATATGCTCCGAGGGCTATGATTTATAAAGGGCTATGATTTATACACCTAAATGGAACCCTATGGATCCAGATTCTTCCTGAGAAGGGACTTAACCCCCAAATCATACCACAGTCATACTTCCTCAGAAGGTACTTGGATCCATAGGTACTTATATATATATATACACACACATATATATATACATACTTATGTATACACGCATGGCACAACGATGAAATATTCCATTACCTCTTGTTGTTTGTTCAACCACCATTTGCTCTTGTTGTTTTTGATGGTTGACCATGGGGCACCTTGTACCCAAAGATATCAATATCCTTTGGAACGGTGCCAGGCACAAATTCAGTGCTGAAGCTGCTGGCGAGGACAAATCGGAAAAGTGTCCTGGCAGCCGAATGAGGCACTCAGGCTCACAACCTTTCCAATTGGTGCAGGAATAATTTTGATGCACATCACACCCATATATAGCTATATATATATATATTTATAGTTATATATGTATATATTATAGCTATATAGCTATATACATATATATATAATATATACATATATATATATAATATACATACATATAATATATATACACATAGATGGAGCAACTCCCTGTGGAACAGAAACCATCATCCAAAATTCGTGGGAATTCTTCCTATCATGTTCCTGGTATTCCGCGATATTCCATGAGAAGTTACCGGGTATCTGAGGTGATCCAAATGGTCTTTACCCCAAATTTGAAACGGTGATGATCAATTACCTTTTCGGCATCTTGCGGGGTTCCTATATTAGACATGATTCAGATAGAAATTGTTACTATATTAGACATGATTGGATCATCATGCCATTGTTCCGTTTTTGTTTTAATGATTATTCTTTTGATCTGTGCTCGGGTGCAACGGTGCAACTACTAATTCACAGGAAGCTCCCCTTGACAGGGTCTTGCAAATGAGTGCACGCTTGTCATCGTGTAGAATTTCTTAGATCGCAGTTTTGAAAAAAATAGCAATTATCATACTAATAATCACATAACAATAATCATCATGATGAGATAACAATAATCTTGTATAGTTTCATATAGTACAATCATATAGGAACAATAATGAATAATCACACAATATGATATTCAATACATCAACTATGAAATTATAATTATATTCAGTATCCTTATTAGGGCTCTAAACACCTTCTGAGGCTGTATTTGCGGGTGTTTTTTGGGGCCTAGTTACACCTTCTCAGAAGGTATTTGGAGCACCAGGGTATAATCCACGTTTCATCACCTGTACTGATGGTCGACCCAACATTTTTTTCCCAAGGCGCACTGGGCGGAACAACCTTGAGCCGGTCGAGAGTCAGGTCCTGCCTGGACCGGTGGGCGGTCAAGGAACAACACAAATGTGTATAGTGTGTGTATATATATAGATATCGTACATATATATATATATATATCATCCCAATGATTCATGGTGTATGGGAATGTAATGTTTGTTTGGAGATTTTCTTTTGGAATTTTCCCATGAATATTTGACCAAAATGATTGGACAATCCCGTAAGATCTCCAATAATGACGCCAATTTATTGGGCATCCCCAAAATGGAGGGACATGATTTACCCTCTGGTAAACTAACATAGCTATGGAAAATCATCACGTTTATATAATAGGTAAACCATCTATTTCTATGGGCCATCTATACCATGGCTATGTTAAATAACCAGAGGGTAAGAGTAAAAGTACGTGTTTTTTTCATCAATGCGTTGGAAATTCTAGAATGCTGGAAGCCTGCAAGGTGCTGCCCCATAGCCAAGTTGGCATAATGATTGGAGATCATTGTAGATCTATAGCTAAGTAGGTTAAAAAAAAAACGCAAACACAACTGGGGAGCACCACCTTATGTTGTATTGGTCACCTCACCAAAATCGATGGTGATCGGTTGTCGTTCATCGGGTTTGTCCCATATCTAAACTCATATCCATTCATACAAGATATAGATGAGTAGTACCATAGCAGCAAATGGTTGAAACTACACCAACATATCAAGCTACTCATTTTTTGAACATATATGAACATATGATACAGTAAATATACTATTCTATATATGTATATGTATACACACTATACACATTCCTAGACCATGAATCGTTGGGATCTGCTTCAGGCGCGGGAGAGAACCCGGAGCTCCTGGACGTCGTTGGCTCGGCGAGATCTCGCATTGGCGCCTGTGTTGGAGGCGCCGGGAAATTTTTGGTGCTGTCAGGGCTGTCTTGCGGTCTATACAATGTGAGGCCCCCAAGATATAAGTTGGTTTATAAGCCTCAGTAACTATAGTTATAAATACCATGAACCATAGTTATTGGAGTTATAAACCAACTTAGCTATCTTGGGGGCCTCACATTGTAGCTATAATGTGGGTAAAACTATGCCATAAACCAGCCATGACTGGGAATGGTCACCATACCACCTATCAAAATGGTGATGACTGGGGGATGGTTTATGGCATAGTTTTACCCACATTATAGCTATAGCATCTATAGCCCTCAACAGTTGTAATTGGTTGAACAAACACATTTAAACATTATATATATATAACCTTAGTTGCAGGAGTTGTATTAGTAATCCCATTATTTTAAGTGTTTTTGTTGGGCCATAACTGTGGAGACTTGGGGAAGGATGGGAATATATATATATATGAGTATATGTATATATATACATACATTGAGTAAATGGTTAATATACGGATACATAATGAATAATGCTACATTGGAATATACTGGGATATAATCGGATATGGGCCATCACGTGTGTGCCATGGTCAAGATGAATGGATTGATGACCATCCCCCCACGATCCAACTGTTGACTATGGCGCTGCCCCAGTTCGGAACGACTAAGTTGGTTTACAACTAGCTTGGCTGGAGGTTATCGTATGTTATCGTCAATGGGATATAGATTGTGAATGATGGTTAAAGCTCTTAGCATTTCTTAGCTTGGTTTGAATTTTCAAGCATTTTCAACCATTTAATCAAATATGATTGATATACTGTATAAATTAGGACAAATCTTCATGATATGCCTTGAAAATCCTCCGACGTTGGATTCCTTTCCGCTTTGTCACTGTGGAGCCAGTGGAGCGGCTATGGAAAGATCGACCATGCTATCACCATCTGGTTATGACTAACATAGCCGCTAGCCATGGAAAATCACAATTTTTAATAGGTAAACCCAGGTAAACCATCTATTTCTATGGCGATTGCCTATGGCTATGCTAGTCATAACCAGAGGCTAATGGGTAAATCAACTATTTCGACTGGGCCATGGCTTCCAGTTCGCTATGTGAATGTTTACCGGAGGGTAAGTAAAATTTTAAGTGGTGACTAAGAACCAGATAGTAATGACAGTAAGTAAAAACTAGATATAATGTGGATCTTCGCTCCTTCAAGGGTTGCATAATGTTGCATATGTTTGCATCATGCTGGCTTTGCCGCATAGTTTTTTGCGAGACTTTCAATTGTTTTCGAGAGATTTATCAGAAGTGAAACTTGTGCATTCGTATCTGTGGATGTTTGGAAGGAGCAATCAATGTTTTACTTTACTGGTATTTGCAGTGTTTTTCAATGTGTTTATTGTTTCAACGTAATTACGTATTCGGTTCATAGTTGATTTTCACACTGCACATTCATTTGTTGTGACATCTGAGAAACGGAAGTTAGAAGACAGTTCTGTTTGTAAGTGCGACAGTAACATAAAGTCTTGGAACGGAGCAATGTTGATTTACGATGCTGAAATGCTTGGTTTCTTCTCATTGCTTGCCGTATGAGTGGCAAGTTTTCTTGGCATTCTGCACTTTCTCAGTGGCCTCATTTGCGTCCCCATTTGCATCGAGAACGACAGATCGTGGTGAGCATGGAGCACGATGGATGTTCGCGGGGCCCTCCATTTTCTGCCATTTCATGGTTTAGAACTATGTGGCGAAGGCATTTAAAGCCCACCGCGAATCTGTTGAAGACAGAATCGTGCCGGGACCCCCCCCACTACCCCACCCCTGGTCGGAACCTCTGAAACATTGCTTGCTTCCCGGCAAACCACGGTTGACCCATCATGTTGCATCTCTGCATCTCTCTTTTTTGTGGATGAACTACAATCTGAGATGAATATTGTACAATTCCCCCTGTTCAGTTTTAAGTTTGTTGTGTAAACCCGTTCAACTGTAGATTTCCACATATCTACAGTATATCCTCGACATTCGAGTCATGAACAATGAACCAACATACCTATCTTGGGAGCCCCACATTGTACAATAGCCGCAGCCACCCGGGACGTCACCTGTACAGGAGCTTCTTAACCAGCCATTAAGGGGTGGTGATGATTTCAGTTACCAGCGTGTTAGTATTTATTAGTGATAAATTCGCTAAATTACAAAAACTACCAGTAGCTGATTTTATTCTTAGTTACTGTATCATCACCAAGAGCTGATTAACCAGTTTATTGACCAGCTAGTTCATTTTGATGTATTATAAGGTGACAATTATGTAGCCACCTGACTTGTTTAATGTGTTAAACCATCATTGACCAGGATCAGCTGGATGGAGAGGAGGAGGTGGGGGACCAACATCGACATAACTGGCGAGCATTGGTAATGTGGCAAACCCAATAATAGATGGGAATATCATAGAGATATGATGGAATAGTATGAAATTGTAGGGAATAAACCCAAGAATATAGAGATAATTTGGAGATTCATGTGAATATACTAGAGAAATCATAGGTATTTAAGCAACAAACTTGTGATTTGTATTTGTTTATATAATGGGTATATTAAATTAATCATCAACAAAGATATACCGTAACGGGGATATAATGGAAAATAGTAGCGAGTGAACCCAATCATATGGGGATAATACGGATATCTATGGTTGTTTAATGGTAAATTCACTTTATAGGCCACCAAAAACGGTTGTATAATGGGATACATCGGGGATAATATGGAGATATTATCGGGGTATAATGGAATAAACTATCGATGTAATAGGATGTGACCATCCCCTATTTTTGGTTTATGCAGTTGTGGATGATGGAAGCAGTTTATGCAGTTGGGCACTGGGATGGTCTATTGGATTTCCCACAAATGTTTGACTGAACATAAACCTCACTTTTGGAGGTGCCCCCAAAGCTTATGTTTTGGCTTTCATTACCCCTAACTATAATTAGTCATCAGCACAAACCCTAGCTGATTGGTGCTTTGGAACATGAATGGATTATTTTTCCATTCAGTTGGGAATGTCATCATCCCAACTGACGAACTCATATTTTTCAGAGGGGTTAGCAGCAACCACGAACAAGTTATCCATTGAGATTCCCATTAGATCCTATTAAACAACCATTAAAAATCCCATAAAACCACCATTAAATGCCATTAAACCACCACCATTAGGTATAAGATCTGCCAATGAACAGTGTGTGTTTTGGAAAATCACCCTTTGAAATCGGGATTCGTCATCGAAGTAATGGCCGGCCATGGCTTTCTTCGCAAAGTGTGAAACTGCTGGGCAACCAGCACACATTGGTAGTTTGAAATCATGGTGAAACATGAGGCAGAGCCAAGCAAAACGGGATTCAGTGTTATAAAGTGAATGGATACCGCGGTTTTTTCGTGCATAAAGAAGTTGCTTTCCATCCCAAAAAGTTTGGCCGTGCTCTTTTGACTCGACCCAGCTACCGAAGGGTACAACTGGATTTGTTTGAAAATAAGTTTTTAATCCAATTTTATCATTTTACCCACTATTCAATTGAATTTCCGTGCCTAATCCCTTATCTTCAGGCACACCCATATATCCATTTTTTTTATTCTCTAATGATTAAATCACGTTAAGTCCCTATGGTTAATTGTGTGAAATCCACGTGTTTCACTACTTGTCATTGGTTAAATCCCCATAATTTGTTGTATCCGAGCCCTGGTAGAGGCCCAAGCCTTCACCATGCCCATTGCCAGGAGGTCCCGGTAGCGACTGCAGCAGCGGATGTGGAGGAATTGGAAGATTGGAAGCGAGCTGAA